TGCCCTCGCGATGCTGTTAATGTCTGTAGAACTCAGATAAAAAATTCTGACAAAGGTTCTGAATTCTATCGATTTATAGAGGGTTCACTAAACCACTGCAAATTAAGGGCACCGGTGATTTATTCCATACGGTCGTTCAACGCCTGATTTCTGCAGTATATACTTCTGCATATTGACCTCAAAACAAAAACAGAATTGATCTCATGGTAGCTTCTGGTTTCTGTTCTGGTTACAAGTAAAAATAACGGTGAAACGAGGAAAACCGCATCCCTTGTTAACAAGTAAGCTATATCCAGGAAGTTTGGGGGCCACCAAAAAGCGTCTTTTGTCAGCGCTGTGTTCCCTTCAGCAACGTTCCTGCTACTCCCCTGCCTACACACAAAAGCAGATCAATCGCCTTCGTTGAATGATGGGCAATAAAATGTCCGTTGGGCCAATTCATACCTAAGGCAGACAGCCTACCGGAGGTTTTTTCTGGAGCGGTGTGGTGTAAGGGAAGGTAATTCGGAAAAAAGATGCTGCTGCAGGTGTGACACATCAGTTCGCAGTCAGTCATGCGGGAGACACCGGGCCAGAGCAGTGGCCGCCGACGGCGGACGGGAGCAGGGCCCAGATAAGGAATATATGACAGAAGGACTTTCATTCTGTGACTTGGCTGTTAACGCAGAATCTCCAGTCTTATGGCTTTTGTCACATTGTTTTGGCAGTTTCAAGCTTCGGGATTTGTCTCCGCCTGAAGTGCTGCGACAAGTCTTATCTCTTGAAAAGCAGCCAGCGAAGTGAAGGCGCATGAAAAATCTGTCGCTCCGTGAGCCATCGATTCATTTTCGAAATTATTAACAGCCTATGTCCGGGCCGTATTTTGGCATCTACCCTGTTAAGGCAGATACCTCCTCAGTTATCCAAAATGCCTGCCCGCTCGTGGAATTTTGCCTCCCCAGAGAAGACAGTGTCGAATGACAGAATAATCTTGGGGAGATGGATAGCCTTATTTACTGAATGACATAGATTTGTCTAATAGGCAAGATTGTGCATCAGTGAAGAAACAGCCTTCATCTTTACGCCCTCCCCCCCCCCGGTCATCGGGATTCCTTTCTAGAAAAAGTACCTGAAGTACGCCCTGAGCTTGGCCCTTCCCTCCCCCACACTTTTTGAAACGTTCCTACGCCTATGATTGACGGCATGTCTTTTTGAAGATGTGCATGTCGTTGAGATACAAATAAGACGAATTGCTAATTAGGAGAAAACCAAGAGGCCGAAATGTTCTTTATCCGAATGACAATATACCGGAACTGGATTAAGGCGACTGCCAATCAGACGGATGGAAAATCACCGAATGAGTAACCCACCAAATGCATTTTGTCAGAATGTGAATTTGTGCGAACGGTGATAATACGAGCATAAATTCGTCGAATGGTCGGTTAGCGGGCTTGATTTTGTAATGTAATGTGAATAGGACGACTGAAAGTTCTCTGAAGAGGTAGCATCCGTAAATCGCGAGGGTGGTTCAGGAGGCTGCTTATTTAGTTTCGGACATACATACAGCTGTACCCATTGTTCACTGGTCCGTCATATTTTTCCATTGGTCGATCCATGGCTGGGCCACTGGAACAGTAGCCATTCAGCCCACCAGAACAACAGCCCATCCCTGTGACATGACATGGCACATTACAGGTCACTTTTGTCGATGTACATTCGAGTCCTTTCTATAGAGTTTTTTAAAGAACTATTCAACTCGGCTTGCTATACTGTCGTAGCATGCTTAATTATTACGGTAGCAAAAGGAAACCTGATGGTGGCAGTCACAAGACAATTTGGCGTGGTTTGGCCGCTATTTTGATGCAGTGCGACGTGATAACTCTCCTGTATCGTCTTTCTCATGGCTCTAAATTGCATGGTTAATAGGATCTTAAGGAGGCAGGGGGACTGATTTTGTTGCAATGTGAATAGGACGACTGAAAGTTCTCTGAAGAGATAGCATCCGTAAATCGCGAGGGTGGTCCAGGAGGTTGCTTATTTAGTTTTTGATACACATACAGCTGTAACCATTGTTCAAATTGGGAAGGCCTCAGCAGCGCTGAGGCCTTCCCTCGTAAACGACGGTGAAAATGCCCAGAGCGAGGATTAAAGGGCTTCTGTTTACAGCCCATCAACATTTCGACATATATGCACTCGGCCAAAACGCGTAATGCTAGTTAGCATTTGACTGAAGAGCACTTAAGTTAGTTAGCATTTCAACAAAGAGCGCTTGGGCAAATTGGCTATAGTCTAAACGACACTTAGATAACTCTGTATGTAGTTGATGTGCATTTCACTTCATGAAAATTTATTCATTTTTTCACGTCGGCCAAAGCGCATGTCGTCAAATTTCCGTTTGACTTTTGGCATTTCGCCCTATCAGCAAGATGGCAAAAACCGCGTCGGCAAAATAGCATTGGATTAAATGCGTTCGGGTAAAACACATCCGGCTAAATGCATTCCGGTTATTTGTCGGGGCACAGCACAAAAGGTCGAGGAGGGGTACAACACAACAGTTTTTTACTGTAAGCCTAACGCATTCGTATACATATAAATGTGTGCGATGGATTTGATAAGAGGAGGGGCGCGTAGCCCGGGGCTCTATGTGCGTAGTTTAATGCGATGGTCAAGGCGAGCATGGAGTGAGGTGTAGCCAGATGTTTTATCAAACAGTCCATCTTTGGATATCACCGAACCATCAAGGGCTGTGGTTTTTCAGTAATAAGGCGTACTGCGTTTTTACAGCAGGCCGTAGCCCGAATATACCGAGAGAGTTAGATACGCTCCAAAGTCTTCGTTTGTCTCCCATCGTCCTTCACGTTTGCACTACTCACGACAGTCATCCATCCAAAGTGCTTCCGCTCCGGAGCGCGGAGGCACCACGGTTAGTCGCCTCTCGATGCCGCGCAATAAGTCCAACATAGGTTTTCCCGCTTGAAGGTAGGTTCTGCCACCCCCTCCCCCCCCCCCCCCTGATACCATTGCTAGTCAACACATGAACAAAGAAACAAGTCAGCAGCTATGTCCGCCTCCCACTTCTATTTTCGTCCGCACGTTTCGTGCCGTGGTAACCATCCTATGAATAAGCGAGTGGCAAGCACTTCCTGCACCACGACACGGATCCAAAAATAGCTTATTCAAGCCGGACACGTCGGTAGCGCCTCGAGACCCTCGGAAAAACACGCCGACCAGGATCCCAAAAACGTCTCCAGTGGTGCTGAAAATAGCCACTGTCAGCCGGACGTGTCTGCCTCGAGCTTGTGCGGCGCCCATGGCGACAGTGCTCTGGAGGCATGGCCCCTTCAAAACAGTTTTCCGTTATCTCTCTAGATAGAGCAGAATACCCTGACTCCGAACAGCAGGCTGCCAACCCCCAAAGTCTAGAGCATACGAGGCATGGCTACTTTTGCGTTTTGTCTTTCACAGTTACACTTCTAATAATGCTAAAATAGAGCCAACACTCAGTGATACTTGCATCCCATATGTCCTATGTTAGACCAAGGCTTTGCAAGATAATAAAGTATGCACTCCAATGTCCTGGCAGGAATAGCGGCAATAAATTAACCGGTTTCTCGGCTTGTGCGTAGTGAGATCTTTCTCTAACCTTCAGTATACCAGGAATTGATTGTTAAACGACGTTGTCATGAAAACGTTGGTAATATGGACAAAACTCTACTTTTAAGGTGTGTTCATGATCACGGGCAGAGGAAATGGGACAAAAAAACCTTCTAACAACCAAGACACGTGAATCCAGATGTGTTCCTAACCCCTGCCCAAAAAATGTGAAAATAAAGCATATCACTCACTGTGTATCCGTCGCTTTCATTTTTGTTTGACCTCGTTCACTCGCAACCGCGAGCGTCACCTGAAATATTCGGTTTTGCCAACCAGGACCTCCTGGTACTAGAGGGCATTTAATATGAGCATGAGACCTCCCAACTATATATGAAGCAGACCGCACGCCGTCCTTAATCTTATCGAGCGTCTGCTGCAATTTTAGTGTTACTATGGGTAAGGGCGGTTAGAATATGAGAAGATCGTATCGTAGTCTGCTAGCGAATATAGGCTTGTAGCAACGTGATGGATGACTGATGACACTACTCGCGGGCACATCTAACGGTTCCTGCCATACCCGGCATCCTGGCCTCAGTCCTCGGATGAATGAGAAAGGACAGGTATGATGGAAAACTACGGACAAATGGTGGCGTCGTAACCAGATGTTTGCCCGACGTTTACCAACAAAACGATACCCGTGATGCCTTGTTTATTCCACAGCACGGCGAGCAGCGCGTGTGACGGTGGACATGCAGTATGAGCAGCAGCGCACTGACGTGCGCACGGCCGTTGGAGCTCCATTGCCGCTAGCTGACGACATACCACACGAGCGTAACCATCCACAATCCGCCGAAGACTAACACAGACAAAAAACGTGGCCGAAATCCTGCACACCGATTCGTTTCCTCCATGCCACGCACGCCCCAGTCTGATCTCCCCTCCCATTTATGTCTCGTAGTTTCAGACACATCAGCCATCAGAAAACACAAGCAGCAAAACACGACCCGGATCCAGTTCCAAAAGCGGGTACAAACAGTGCGCCCGGGCAACTGTTTCAGAAACGCCGGTCGTCCAGATACCTCGAACCAATCCCACAGCCGGCCCCAAGACGGCTTCTGAAGCCAGGGCCCCTCACAAGCGGACAACAGTGACCCCGCTACGTCCGGCGCAGGTGCGGACGGGGGGGGGGTGGGGGAGGGGGCATCAGACCCGGCCGGAGCCAGGGAAGCCGGGCTAGATCACGTGACACGGAAAGCCACATCTCGTCACCGACCACAGCCAAGTCCAGGCGTACCGACCTGGTCAGGTCGCGGGACAGCCAGTCAACGCCCGACACCTCCCCTGCCGTTAACTCGCACCACAAGCGGGACGGCGTCAGGTCGCGTCGAGGTGGCCGCCCGCCCATGCTCCCCGGGGCTATCAGGGTCCTACACCTGCTCGGCAGCGACGGCCTGCAAGCGGCGGCTCCACTCGCTGCTGTCGCGCCGGTCGGCGGCCAGGTCGTCGCGCAGCTCGCCGAGCCGGCGCGCCAGACTCGGCTGCGGCCAGAGCTCGGGCAGCGTCAGGTCGCACCGGCGCCGCTCCGCCGCCGGCCGGTCCAGGCTCACCGGCAGCTCCGGCCCCGGCACCAGTGCTGGGACGAGGCCGATCGCCGGCGGAGAGGAACGCAGGCGGGTGGTGGCCAGCGGCGGAGAGGCGCGCAGGCGGGAGGTGGCCAGCGGCGGAGAGGCGCGCAGGCGGGAGGTGGCCAGCGGCGGAGAGGCGCGCAGGCGGGAGGTGGCCAGCGGCGGAGTGGGGCGCAGGCGGGAGGTGGCCAGCGGCGGCCGAGCCGGCCGACGCGACGACACGGGCACCGGCGGCAGGCCGCCTGAGCAGCGTGACCCTGCAACAGCGGCGGGTCAGGTCGCAGCTGCTACAGTGTCTCACACGGCGGACGTGCTCGCAGCGCGCGGGCGGTGCCGGAAGCCGGACGGCGCCAAGCTCGGACCGCCGAGCTCGACACTCATGATTTTGAGACAACCTGACCATTTTATGACGGGGGGCCAAGTCGTCTCCGTATTAAACGACGCTTCTGGGGTGACGGCCAGGGGATTCCTGCAGAAAAATACTAATTTTTCAGGAAATCGCGTTGCGCCCTTAACAAAAAATATCAAAAATGCTCCCATTTTTCGCTTCGAAAATCCTCCCGCACCCGTTCGGGCTACGAGCATCATAATCAAATCGTGCTAACAACAAGCGATAGATGACACTGTGCAGTGAAAGGTGTTGGTACTTACTTGAAGTGCAATGAAACATTTAGGTCCAGTCTAGGGGCAATTCTCACGAAGCGGCACTAATTCAAAGATGGTTCCTAGCGGTTCCAAGCAACAACTTCTCGCGATACACGTAGACCACCATCATAAGCCATGCCCTTCTCCACCAATGGTATGCGGACCCGTATCGGCCGTGGATTGCACTCATCAAGTGGCCTGCATCCACACATCACTACAAGGACGTCTCTTCGAACAGATAGCCCCGAAATGACACAACTCATGTTAAAAGAGCATAACCTTACCTTGGTCCACAAGCTCCCTAAGTCGTTCCTCCCAGCCCAAGGACATGTCCATTTCCGTTTTGATATCAGTGCTGACATCTAGCGAGGGACGTGGCGAGCTGGACTTCTCCGGTCGTCGCTTGCTGACCGAGTCATTCAAAAACTCTTCGAGCGGCCTCTTCGCGATCCCAATGGACGCATCCAACGACAGAGACACTGTAAGCACGATCTCGTGAATGCTCTTCAGAGCCAATCAATAAAAACCGTATCCATAAAATACACAGAGCAAATAGGTCATGATTTACGCAACGAAACACCAACCAGCCTCCCAGCTGTTCCACGGTGACATTACAGCCGCTGGCATTTCCACGAGTCGCCGCCTGCCGGCGCCGGAGCCCGCAGCCGCCCGTCCCTGCTCAGCGACGGCCCGGATCATCCGGCCGCCGTCCGCACCTTGCGTCTGTCCGGCCGACGTGGCCTCGGCCCAGGCGTCCGGCACGCGGAAGTGGGCCATCTCGTCCGGCAGGAAGTAGGCCTTCTCCGAGCCCGTCAGCAAGGCTGTGCGCAGCTCGATGCAACACTGGCGGCGCACGGGGCGGTGGCCGTCAACGGACGCGGCACGGTGAGAGCGGCGGGAGGGGGGGGGGGGGGGCGTCACGCGTGGCGCACCCAACAGCACACGGAGCCAGTGACGGTGACCCTAGCCGCTGGATGGGAAACACCAGACTATGGGGTGGGCGGAACAAGCCCGAGGGTCAGCCGCACAACAGAACAAGCTCCACATACATTCCGAATGTAGGGCATGCGAGTCCCTTTTCAATGGCAATGCATCCACCACCACCATATGAACAAATCCGTGCCTGCGTCATCATACACCGACACGGTGAAGTCGCCTACGGACGAGCCGCAGTGTCGCTGACGGCTAAGGTTTAAAAGTACGTCGACCGCTGAGGTCGTTTTGCACCTAAAAGCCGCAGTGTCCGCGAACCACAGACTAAGCCAGGCCACGACCCGCGGCCCGGCTCAGGCACGCGCACCTGGATGATGTCGGTCCAGGGCAGACTGGCCGCCAGCGGCCGAGACGCGATGTCCTCGTGCAGCGGCCAGGCGGCCTCCTCCAGCTCCCGCAGCCGCTCCTGCAGCAGACTCTGTACCCTGTCGGCGCAGCGCCACCACAGAAGCCAGTCAGCCTGGAGCAGCACACGCCACCTGGGAGGAGGGCTGGCCTCTGCGCGAGTTTGGCCAGCGTGTAGATGCTATGACTACTGGCATACTGGCATCGGAATCTTCCATACCGACGGCAGCGAGAGAAACTATACACGGCCGAGGACATGTCTCGAACCCAAAACTCCGATCATAATATCGATCATATCACATAATATCGATCACAGATCAATAAATCCGATCATAGGAAAGACAGTTTTCTCCCAAGCGACCGCTTCCGCCAAATGGTCAGTAAGTTGTTCGCGGTTCTGCCAAAAGCTTTGATCCGTATCAGACAGTCCTGTAAGCCCCTTAGGGACAACGGAGCTCGTTAAACGTTTACACTGCGTGGAAACTATACAATGTCCCTGCCGGACACGCTGTTTTCACTAGACACAGCACAGAGCCCTATATACAGTGACGTGGCAGTGTGGGAGGCCGGCAGGTGGCGTCGCCGGCAGGCTGACCTGTACAGGAGCGGCGTGCAGTCCTGGCCGGGCTCACACACGCCGCCCACGTAGTGCAGCACTTCGGCGCAGCTGGCCGCCCAGTCAGCGTCTTCGTCCAGCACTAGGCAGGGCAGCGTTAGCCGCTCGACAGACTGGCGGCGGACACGGCCGGCCGTCAGCCGCGCCGCAAACACACGTGTGCCACACACACACACGCACACGCACGCATACGCGCACGCACGCACGCACGCACGCACGCACGCACGCACGCACGCACACACACACACGCAATCACTCACACGCACACACGCACGCACGCACGCACGCACACGCACGCACACGCGCACACGCACGCACACACACGCATGATGTCAGCACACAACGCGGCTGACGAGCACCAGCGGCGCGGGCGATATCACCATCCGTCCAGTAGCCGCTGTCCATCATCAACACCGCTGCGATCGCGCCTGGCACCCAGCGGGAGACCCATCAGCCGACCAGCGGCGCGCCCACTACGGACGCTTCGTCAGCACGAGAAGAGGACCGGGCTGGGTGTACCACAAGGTGGTCAGACCGGAGCCGATCAGGGGGCTGCATCACCCGGGCTGGAGCACGCACAGACCGACACGACAGCTCGGCCAGGCGCGACGCCGCCCAGCGAGCGCAGGGGCAGACGCTCGCTGACCCCAGAGCACCGTGTGGTGACCCCTGAGCACCGTGTGTGACCCCAGAGCACCGTGTGGTGACCCCTGAGCACCGTGTGGTGACCCAAGAGTACGGTGTGGTGACCCAGAGCACGGTGCGGTGACCCCAGGGCACCGTGTGGTGACCCCTGAGCACCGTGTGGTGACCCCTGACCACCGTGTGGTGACCCCCGACAGTGAGTGCGCGCGGGGTCCGACCGGCGCCTCACCTCTCTAAGCAGGAGCAGGCGGGCAGGCCGGTTCCAGTCGGCAGGCGGCAGGCGGCCGCCGGCCGGGGTGTCGGCCAGCTCCGCCGGCGGCCATGATAGCTCCGGCAGCGAGTGGCTGCTCATCACCGTCGCCAGGTGGTGCACCGCCGCATTAAACAGCGCGATCAGGGCAGCTGGCGGCTGTAACGCGCAGGGGAGGGGGGGGGGGGGGGGGCGTCAGGGTGGGACGACGTGAAGAAGCGCCACCCTGGCATACTCCCGACATTGGCATGGCCAGCGGGTGGTACAATGTGCATTAAAGCTAGCTGAATCGAGGGTCAAATAGTGCTGCAGGTGCATGGTAACTACATATGGGATGAACCCGACCTTATCGACAATAATCACCATCCGGTCAAATGAGCATGGTTTATAACATGTGAAGCACTAAAATAGTTAAAAAAGCAGACTTACATTGATCCATATTCAAACAAATCACAGAAGCCACTACACAGCAGACTCCAACGACACGCGGTTACAGATCGGCTTCACTGACCTGCTCGACGCGTTTTTTGTTCCTCCTCATGTGAAGGTTGTCGTACATTCGCTTGGTGACCTGTTCAGCGATGAAGTCCTCGACCACGTGTCGGACGACCCCACTTTGAAGCGAAGGGACAGCCGGACGGTTGTCGAACAGCCACTCCAGCATTGACACCAGCTGAGAAGAGCCCCGCGACTCAGTCAGTCCCGCCGGTAAGCAGCGCGTGGTTAGGAGCGCCGCGATTCAAAATGTCCCATATGTCGGGAATCGTCGTCCGGGAGCCCATACGGGACCCACAATGCGAGTCGGCACTTCCAAACTATAATGCTTACAACAAAGGATAAACAAGACCATCCAAACATCACAATGAGCAAAATAACGATACTGCACCCACCCATCGCAATAGAACCCACCATGGCGACAGGCTGCTACCACTGGCCCACATAATGTAACACGCAATATAGTACAAACATCCCCTGTGATTCCGGTTCGTCCCCAATGACAGCGCGTGGGTCCCCAGGCGCAGTCCCCTCCCCTGCACGTACCGCCTGTCCGCTCTGCACGGCGTCCTCCAGCTCGACCTCGAACACGCGATAGGCGCTGATTGGCTGCGTGCCGAGACAGTCGGGCAGCCGGAGTCGGGCCACGGCGGCGGAGCGGCCGCCGGGCGGCGCCACCACCGCCAGCGGCAGCAGCGGCTCGCGCGGCAGCCGCGTCAGCAGAGTGCGCAGCCGACACTCGTCGTCAGCGCCGGCCAGCGCCAGCGCCAGGCCGGCGGCGCCCACCGTCTCGCCGGCCAGGCCGCGCGAGGCGCGGACCACCAGCGACAGGTGCCGCTGCGGAGAGACGGCGCCAGAGGAGAGCTGCAGCACCTGCGGACGGCGGCGTCGGGTCACGTATGGAGGCGGTCGGCGAGGGTGACCGACCAGTCACACTGGGCGCCGGCGGAGATACGCCAGCCGTTCAAGGGAACGGTACACACTGAAAAACTGAGGCAAACATAAAACTAATTCTATAGGCTCACTTGCAATTATTGCTAAAAGTGTAAGACTTCTAGATTTCATTATTGAGCTAATACTTTTCCCAATATGTCATCATTCGATTACCTCCTGGCACATCCCTGTGAACTCAGAATCGCTGCCGGACTGGCCGTGTTAGAACTGCTACTGTAGCGGACAGGCTGACCCACTTGTAGTACTCAAATTTTCCGATAGCGATGGGCTTTGCTAGCGCATGTTTGCTGAGCTCGAATATCGTTTGTGCGGGTGTTTTGACCCTTTCTCGTGGTGTTCTTGTCTATTTGTCAGCGATTTTATATTTTGGGCTTGCATTCACATACTCCGCTATGACGTTATTCCTAAGTTATTTAATCCCCAGTCTTATTTTTATCATAACTAGCACCATCACCCAAAGTTCCTGCATAACGTAGTACAAAACGTGAACCATGTTCAAATCATCCGCCCTTTTCTTCCCTGTCTCCTGCACTTGTTATCCTGCACCATACCAACACCCCGCTTGTCCTGGGCAGACTACACGCGCCAGCCACAAGTAGCCCGAGGGACACCCCGCTCTCCAAGAACATCCCACGGAGGGGTCCCTGTGTGGGCTTCGTTCCGGCGGTTGGATCCCATGGCGCAAGCCTTGCTCTACCATTATCTACGCTTGTTTCATCCCATGGCCCTGAAATAGTCATTACTGGCCGAAAGGGTTCTAATCCAACTAAACAAATAATAACTAAATCGCGTTCGAAACTAGCGCCTAACACATGGAGTCGATTGAAGGCCAACTGATGTCCGTTGATCCCGCGACGGACGCTGACGCGCCAGACACGAATGACTTGACGGACATTTTTGTCAGCCTTGAACGCTACATGGCCAACGACATGGCGTCTTCCCGTGCCCTTTCTATGCTGTCATGCGTGAGTGGGTGACCTTGAATTAGCTTGCACAAAATTGTTTGCACATGCTCGCGTGCGTCATGCTTAGAAAGAAGGTGGTTTGAGGACTTAAGGAGAGCAAGGCTGTGAATTACACTGAATAATCTCCAAAATGGCGGTAAAGCCCCACGCAAATACAGAACACCGCCATTAAAGCGCAGGCATTGAATGCGTGACGTGACTATCCGTCAAATCGGAGCATGAGTAAGGCTAACACATCCTCTTCTCAAACATTACGACAGCACGGACTTATTCTCGAGCAGCGGATTGATTCGCGATCCCCTCCCTCCCCCCCCCCCCCCCCCGATCCCAGCTCCTCGGACGCCGCGCCTCCCCTGCCCTCGTCAGCGGGGTCAAAGCGGCCTGGGTCCCCGGCCCGTCGCGGCACCCCTCTCCGCCCGTCGCTTCGCCCGCCCGTACCCCGTCGGAGCGCGTCTCGCCGTCGCTCAGCTTCCACTGAAGCCAGTCGGGCAGCTGGCGACCGGGGCTGGCGGCCACGGCCAGCTTCCAGAGCAGGTGGCCGGCGGGCGCGGCGGCCGCCAGCGGCGCCAGCACGGCCCGCACGCTCAACCGGCCCGTCTGCAGCCGGTCCTCCAGCAGCAGACGGCACAGGCTCTGGTCTGCCGGCGGGCAGCGGCGCGTCAGCTCGGCCAGACATGCAGCAGATGTCAGCGGCGCGGTGCGCCGCACGCAAGGGCGTCCCAGACACAGTAACACGGTGCCGGTACCCGTGAACGACAACCAAAACCGACGAGATGAGACAGGTAACAAAAAATCAGCAAACAATCCGCGCGTGACTACGCCATCGCCAACCGGCTGCTACTGCTTGCGACCAGTTATAGCCAATACCAGCCTGTTAGAGCACCAACAGCAGCCCGCATCACCAGACCGTAAACAACCAGCAATGGACAGACATCACAGCGCCGTGGAGCCGCCCACAGGCCGGTGAGGGAACCAGCGGGGCTCACCTGCGCGCCGGTCCGCCGGCGGGTGCGGCGGCGGCCGCGGTCCGCCCAGCAGCCGGAGCGTCGTCTCGGGACCGTGCAGCGGCGGCCGCGCCGGGAACGCCACCTGCTCGGCCCGCAGGCGGCGGCCGGCGTCCGTCGCCGCCCGCCAGCGGCACACCAGGCGGCGCAGTGTCAGGCGGCGACCTGGCGAGACGGGCCCAGGTCACGGGCCGGAGACGGAGTGTCAGGTGACCTCACGAGACGGGCCTGGGTCAGGGGACAGGGATGGAGTGTCAGACCCGGTGAGACAGGCCCGGGTCAAAGGACGGGGACGGAGCGTCAGGTGACCTGACGACACGGGCCCGAGTCAGGGAACAGGGGCGGAGTGTCAAGTGACATGACGAGACAGGCCTGGGTCGGGGGACGGGGATGGAGTGTCAGACCCGGTGAGACAGGCCCAGGTCAAAGGACGGGGACGGAGCGTCAGGTGACCTGACGACACGGGCCCGGGTCAGGGAACAGGGGAGCAGTGTCAAGTGACATGACGAGACGGGCCCTCGAGACGCACGAGACGAGACGGGCGCGAATGCAGAGGCCGTCCCGACAAAGGTCCACCTCGGTCCAGCCACCCCCATCTGGCGGCAGGTTCCTGTCGCTGCCGCGGGGGAGCACTGACCGATCTCTGTGGCGGCCTGCAGGCGGGCTGCCCTCTGGCGCCGGTGGTCGGTGTGAACCTCGATGGCCGTCTCCCAGGCCAGCCGCTCAGCCTCCTCCGTCCATAGGGTGGCGCAGATCGTGTCCGCCGCCCTGCCACATGCCGACCGACGTCACACGACTGACACCGCCCGACCGGCAGCCGGTGCCGCACAGGCAGCCGTGTACCGGTCGGCAGCACCGAGTGAAGCGGTGAGCTCTGGTACAGGCAAGGTCACTCGCTGGCGAGAGTACTGCCAATGCAGTTTGTACCATACACCACCTGTGCAGATGCGCAAGTGCCTTCGGGCCATATCTTGACTTAAAACCGTCGTATCAGTAAATCGTCTGTATCATACATATTAGCATTATAATCATAATCATCATCATCATCATCCGCATCATCATCTTCTTCACCACCACTGATCATCGGTCATCGGTCATCGGTCATCGGTCATCGGTCATCGGCCTCCGGTCGTCGTCGTCGGTATTCGTCGTCGTCGTCTTCGTCAGCCGTAAACGTCAGTGTAGTTATTCAACCATCATATTTAGATTCACATCGATCACAGTTAAGCACTACATGTAGTTAGTGGATGGAAAACTGACGCTTGGAGAGACCATCAGTAAAGACAAATTATTGAAGTCACCTGTTCTTTGCGTGCCTGCTCCTTTCCTTCTCCACAAGCATGATTTCCTCCTCTGCCAAATCGTTCGTCTCGTCGAGACAGACCTCGGCTATCAGTGTCTCGGTCAGCACCGCACCCAGGCGCTCCTGAAACACGCGCCAGACCGGTCAGGCGGCCGCGAGACCGGACCAAACGGCCGGGCGCGCGGCAGCGGGTCCGCGGGCACGCCTGTCACGCGGGTCGAACGACGCCACACGGCGGACGACAGACGGACACTTCTGCGTCAAGCTAGACGCCCTCTTCTCTGGCGGCCGGGACCGCCGCCGCAGTTGAGCGCATGGTCCCGTGTTGATTGAGTGCCGGTGGCTTCCAACACGGCCTGAGGGGACGGCGGGTGGCGGGGTGAGCCGCACGCCCGGGGGCAGTGGGGACAGGTCAACTACTCGGGTGCGAAGGAGGCCGATATTTTTGCATGGCATTGCCCATGTGCCTTGAGGTCCACGATACGCCGCTCCTTCCCTCGTTCAGGGATGGCCAGTCAACATCGTAACCGTATGGCGGTCGACACGGCATCTCTGCGCCTCGGACTACAATCAGGAAGGCAGGTCAGGGTGTGACCGTTCGGAGGCAAAGAGCAACGCACCGACATCAAGGAAAGCATGATAGGGGCGAAGGCAGCGCAGGGGACATAGGTATGATAGCATAAGTTCATATTGACCTCCTTGACACCCACCTGGACGGTTCTGCCGCGCCGCCCAGGCAGGCCTCCCTAGCCCACTCCCTTCCACTCCCTCCAAGGGCAGGTCCCCTTAGACTCTGGCCTCAAGAGAAGGGTCAAATGCACCCCCATCTCGACCTCCCCGGATCCTGCCTTCCTCTCAACACCCTCACCCTCAAATCCCGCCTCGAGACCCTGCCTAGCCCTGCCCCGCTCGTGTTCACCCTCGTCTCCTGGTCGTGTCTGCCTCCGACCCCGCCGCTGTCCTCACCTTCATCTCCTGGTCCCGCCGGTCCCTGGCCCACTGACGCTGCAGCGCCATCTCGTGCTGGCGCCGGGCCTCAGTCAGCTCCGTCTGGCACACCTCCCTGACGACAGGGACACGGGTACTTGGCGGCCCGATCACTGGTAGTTTGCGGAAACGTGTTCGGCTTACACAAGCGATTAAAGCCTGCATATGGGACGGCTGTCTCTTCTTCTTCTTCACAGACGACAAAGCTTAACATTTAGCACAACATCGGCTATTTTTTGCACACCATTTGCACACCGACACACCGTTTTCGTGTAACATTCCCACCATTGCATAATGTGAAACGGAAATAAAGCGCAAGTGTAGTTTTTTACCATCTTTTTTGGCATTTCCAGACTCGCAATACTGATCCCCATCATCCCCAACAATACAATTGTCCCAATTGTCCCAATCAGTCCCATCGCCCGAAATTTGGGATCCTTTGAACTAAGCGCAAGTGCGGAACAAGTCCGATCTGCAACGTAAAAGAAGCGTAAGTGCCGCGACCTACAGCAGAAAATAGCGAGTTCTCCTTTCCCTCCGCCGATTCAATTAATAAAAAGCGCGCATCTGCACTTGCACAAAGAAACTAGCCGCACAACCACCTGGATTCGGCGTCCCCGGCCCTACCGAAGACCCCGCCGTCGTCTAGCCTCAGCTCAGCCCAGCCCAGGCAAAAGTGTACTGAAAGGTGATAAAACGTACAGCGCCAAAGGATCAACCGCATGGTGAATCGTCTCTCATGGTCAGCCCGCCGCCAGTGGTTCCGTTGCCACGTGAACAGGAAACAGACCCAGAGAAATAGCACCAATCAGGAAATAGGAGCAGAAAAGCACAGAAGTCTTCTTTACATGCTTCCGGATAAAAACGACCGAGCCGTTGCCGACCGCATGTCATTCATTTGGCAGCGGTAGGGGTGAAGTTTATCAATGACCAGGTCATACGGAGCGCTCTCAAAAACGCTGAAAACGAGGACGGAAGGGAAGATGGAACTCCGAAGACCAAGATCGACTCGACTGTCATCCGAAACCACATCCAGAGTTATGGGCCGTGTGCGCATCACTATCGGCATAACCACGCACCAAAGAGACTGTAGCTGCCATCCAATATAACGGTCATTGACGACATAAAGACTTAAGTGAAAAACATGGCAAATAACCCTCGGGTGGTACCGGAGGGAGGTGAAACAGACGGATATTACCTTCATCAAATTTGGTAATGAGGACTGTGAAAACTGTACTCGTCACTTGAAACACAAGAAACCAGCGCATACAGCCCCAAAAAGAGCAGGCTTGGTGTACGTGGACGGGTGTGACCGGCGTCAGGAGCATAAAACACTAGCCAGGGCCAGCAAAGCTAGAGCTCAATACGGAAGAGGCGGAAAGCGAGTGTGGTGAAGACAGACACGTGTGTAGCGCCGACCTAATGCAGTAACAGAAATTCCTATCCTTTCCCCGCAAAGCGGTCTTTTTCACGCCCGTCTCCTTGATTTTAATAATAAACATTTTTTGCTCTCTTTTTTGCTCTTTGCAGTTTGCTCTCCCTACGCTTAAGCGTGATACTATAGGTCATCCAATTCTTGCATATCTACGAGGCAAATCAGCGTGAGTTTCAGCTGCTGCTTCAAATTATAAGCTTTGCATGTATTTGCGATTGCCCTGACCTGCTTGAAATATCAGCTTTACCATTCAAATACAGAAATTCATGCACTTGTGGTTTTTCATTACATACGCTGGAGAGCTTGTGCTGTTTCTTACAGCATCCATTGCATCTTTGCTTTTCTTACGTTGCGGAAGTCACGTTTGTTGCTACAAATGCCAAAATATAAACACCTCTCCCGAATTTCTGTGCAGTTTACATGCTAATATGTGTAAAACAGCGTATAGCGTGATTCATTTCGATAGGAAAAATTCAATGGTATATAATTCAAGCACGTGCCACCAACCAAGAACGTGCTACAGCAGAAAATTGGAAAACCTTTCTCCCGTAAAGTTCCTGAAATGTGACAGCGTGTTTTCCTTTGTACGGCACCTTGCCAACGCCACAGAATAAACGCCCACCACTACACACCAATTTGCGCGTTTGGGACCATTCCATGCATGCGGGTGATAGCCCGAACCAGACTTCGCACAATATCAAAGAACGAAAAGAGTCTATACCATCCACGCTACTACCAGACTTCATGTTCCCGCCCCTGTCCCTTATTACCGATATATTCGCATGTCATATCCGTCAGTGCTTCAGCAGCGCACCGGCGCCTCACCGTATGCCCTCGTCGACGATTGTGCGGAGCGTGTCACCACACAGCGCGCCGGCGCCTCACCGTATGCCCTCGTCGACGATTGTGCGGAGCGTGTCACCACACAGCGCGCCGGCGCCTCACCGTATGCCCTCCTCGACGACTGTGCGGAGCGTGTCACCACACAGCGCGCCGGCGCCTCACCGTATGCCCTCGTCGACGACTGTGCGGAGCGTGTCACCACGCAGCGCGCCGGCGCCTCACCGTATGCCCTCGTCGACGACTGTGCGGAGCGTGTCACCACACAGCTGCCTGGCCACTTGCTGCAGCACGCCCAGTCCAGTCAGCAGCCGGGCGGAGACGTGACCGGCCTCGGCCAGCACCACCTCCTCCAGCAGCAGCGCGGCCGCCGCCCTCGCCGCCCGGTCAGCCGCCGCCGCCGCCGCCGCCGCCGCCGCCGCCTGGTCTGCCTGCTCCCGCTGCCACTGCAACTGCAGCTCCTGCTCCTGCTCCTGCTCCTCCTGCTTGGGCCGCGCGGCCGGCGCCGGCTCCGGCGCCTCGGTGGCGGCAGCGGCGGCGTCGCGGCGCTGATCGAACGCGTCCCAGGCGGCGCGGCGCAGCACGTTCGCCGCGTCGAAGCTGTCGTGTGGCTGGTAGCCGGGGAGGGGGTCGGCCGGCAGCGGCGCGCCCTGGATCACCTGGCGCAGGTCGGACAGCCGCTGTCAGCGCCACACCGCCAGGGTCGTGGCACAGTCACACGCCAACACTCGGCGCACGAGCGCGGGAGGCGGCCGGCTGTCACCGCGGCCGCGCCCACTGGCGATCTTACCGAAGGCAGACAGTCGACCCTGCTCATCGCAGTGGCAACGCCAAGATATTTGGATGTATTACACACCTCGTTAGGTACTCCGCAAAGCACACAGCAGTGAGGAATATGAAAAAAGAAAGCAGCATTCACAGGTGTGTCAGTTAACGGCTAGCTAAATCGCCTCAAGATACCTGATCCGACTCCGCATCTTCTAAGCCCGGCACTCCTGTTTTTTCTTTCGCTACACCAATTCACCGCCCCCACACAATGACAGCCTGCCGGTGTCGAGACGGCGGTAGCGACCACGCCGCCTGCCCAGCCTCTGGCCGCCCGCCGGACTCACCTGGCCGACGGCGCAGGCGCGCTTGGCGTCGATGAGCGTGGGACAGCGGCGCACGTCCGGCGCCAGCTCGGGCGCCTGGAACACGGCCCGCTCGAGGAAAGCGGTGCCCTGCTCCGACTCGAGGCCGTGCTGACGCAGCAGCGAGGCGCACTCGGCCTCGCTCTCCAGGCCCAGCGTCTGCTGCAGCTCGCTCAGCGGAAACTGACGGCGGGCGGCACGGTCAGCGGACGGCTCTCGGCGACACGAAGCGACGGGACGCCGGCTGGGTGGGTCGGCTCGAGCATGGCACACCGTCAGACGACGGACGAGGCCGACGCGGAGGCGGCCGACAAGGTCTGGGCCCATCGGCACACGCACGGCGCTCGGCCACGCACCATTGCAACGGAAGACACTGCAATCAATCTCAGTTTAAAGCGAGCCAAATATGAGCATTACCACCACACATCATCCTCGGAATTACTCTTATCATTCACCAAAGATTCCACCTCAGCATTCTCATCCAATCGCTCGCCTCTCACAGCACCCCTCACCTCTCACCGAACCCTAACCCCTGGCGCCCCTCGTCACCCCGCGTCGTCCAAGACGAACTCGTACCCGTCGCTGACCGCCGGAGCCGGCGGCGCCGACTGACTCACCTCGACCACCTTCTTGGGCGGGCAGAAGGTGCGCGTGATGACGTCCAGGGCGCGCGTCCGGACTTGGTTGAAGTAGCGCTGCAGCAGGCACGCGGGCAGGTACGCGGAGCGGCGCACCAGCTTGAAGAAGCGCACGTAGTTGTTGGTGGAGAGCGCCACGTAGACGCGCAGCGCCGACTGCACCTCAGCCGACTCACGTACGGCGTCGCTGTAAGTCTGTACCTCCCTGTCGGAGCCAGGGCCGGAACACGTGGTCACAAGACGCGAGGCCACAAAATGCCGACACGACCGGCCGTAATCCGTGTGATTGCGCTTGTCTCGTCAGACAACTGTGAACGCACATTGCTTACCGCCTCAGCCCAACTTTCCACCGCGTCCGAACGCACTCTACATCTGACGAGAACAGATGCACATAACACTGGTTGACACAAGTCTGAGGGCAATTTGAAGTTCGTCGACGTCATTGTCGCCCTAAGCCTGGGCGACAATGACGATAGTCGCCTGACTGTCGCCTGGGCGACAGTGCATGATGAGTCGGATAACGCCGCCGTGGAGGGCGCCCTGCACTCCCATGGTACCGCCGCCATGAGAGGTCACCCTAAACTCCCATGGTACCGCCGCCACGAGAGGTCACCCTACACTCGTCAGCGGGCAGGGACCAGCCTTAGCGCCCGTTTGTCGCTGGCGTCAGCGCCTGACCTGAGGATGTCGCCCTCGTTGAGGTTGAGCAGGATGTCGTAGGCGCGGAACTCGGGCTCGCCGGGACACGGCACGTCGCGCAGCGCCAGGTCGTGGTACATGTGCTTCAGGGTCTGCAGGGCACGACACCAGTCACCGACACAGCCAGCAGCGACAATCAGCGGTGTGGTCTGGCGACGGCGGCGTCCCGCAACCAGATGCGCACCTTCTCTTTGGCAAATATAGTGCTAAAACGACAGTCGTGAAGAATCCATCGCGACCAGAACGATGCGAAATCAGCTTGCATTTTGCAGGTGGCGGCACGATAACTCAACACCACAGAACATCAAGTGAAAGAACTCGGGTTCCCGGAGAAGTCCATCCCGCCGCCTTCCTCCGAGACAGCACGTCCGCGAGCCCACACGAGCCCCCGCCTGCCGCAGCGCCTCCCCCCGCGCACCTGCAGGCACTTGGTGAGGTTCTCGTTGTTGATCTTCTGGTCGAACATGTCGCGCGGCAGCTCGCAGAGGGCGGAGGCGCAGTGCACGTGGAAGCGGGCACACTTCTCCACCAGGCCGACCGACACTGGGTCCGTCAGCTGCTGCTGCGTGATGTCCTTGCGGATGCCGCGCGTACGGTCCCAGATAAAGTGAAACCTGACGGCGGCGGCGACGGTCGGGACGCCGTGAGGTCGCCAGGCACCACATGCCAGAAGAACTCGTCACGATACCATAACATGTGCCATGTGCAAGATATCAAAGATAACGAAATGATCTTCCGCAGACATATATCTATTTTTCTCCCAGCGTATTTCCACTGACGGACAGTCCACTGGGTGGATGAGAGTATTCTCACTTCCAGCATGTGCGTCAAGCAATGCCAGTAGACCACTGACTGGTCACAGGAGTCCGACAGAGGGCGCCCATCGTGAGCGTGACCCGCTAGCCTCAGCGAGTGACTCACCAGTCGCCAGAGTCGCGTGACTCCGCGTCCATGACGTGCGTGACCAGGTAGTCCATGGTAAGCAGCAGGGCGGCCGGGGTGCGCAGCTCGTGCGGCAGCGGCTCCTCCTGATCGGCTGAACTCCTGGAGTACTGTTTCACTGCCAGGCGATGATCCATCTCGAACGGACCCTGCACGTGAGCACCAACACGTGAATAAGACATATTTTCGTGGCCGACGCAACGCATTCGCGCATCCCATTCACCAGCTGTCTTAAAATACACTCAATAAACCTACACCATACAATCGTGACAAACGCGCAACACACCGATGCAAACATTGACACAAATTTCAACATAGACCGCATCTGCCTGCAGCGCATAGCAGTCCTGGGAAATCGCCACACGCCCATGTCTCCGCTCCCCTGACCCACCGACCCATCGACCCCGAGGGCGTCCTCCGCTGACCCACCGACCCTGAGGGCGCCGCCGTCGGCTCACCTGCCTCTCCCTGTCTCGCTCGTAGGCGGCGCTGATCTGGTGCTTCTCCTCGCGCATGTAGCGCTCCTTCTCAGGACACATGTCCGGGCACGTGCCGACCAGCGGCCCGGAGCGGGCCGCCTGCTCCCGGCGCAGCACTGCCGCGCGCGCGCACACACAGAGTGCAGGCCGGTCAGAGCAGCGCCACACGCCAGGGAGTAAGGGACCGCCGCCACACGCAGACAGAACGCGGGCCAGTCAGAGCAGGGACACGCGCGGGGGAGTGAGGGACAGCCGCCATACACGGACAGAACGCGGGCCAGTCAGAGCAGGGACACGCGCGAGGGGCTGAGGAACCGCCGCTATACAGACAGAACGCGGGCCGGTCAGAGCAGGGACACGCGCGGGGAGGGGGCTGAGGGACCGCCGCCATACACAGACAGAACGCGGGCCAGTCAGAGCAGGGACACGCGCGAGGGGCTGGGGGGCCGCTGCCATACACAGACAGAACGCGGCCCAGTCAGAGCGGGGACACGCGCGGGGAGGGGGGCTGAGGGGCCGCCGCCGTACACAGACAGAACGCGGGCCAGTCAGAGCGGGGACACGCGCGGGGAGGGGGCTGAGCGGCCGCCGCCATACACAGACAGAACGCGGGCCAGTCAGAGCAGGGACACGCGCGAGGGGCTGAGGGGCCGCTGCCATACACAGACAGAACGCGGCCCAGTCAGAGCGGGGACACGCGCGGGGAGGGGGGCTGAGGGGCCGCCGCCGTACACAGACAGAACGCGGGCCAGTCAGAGCAGGGACACGCGCGAGGGGCTGAGGGGCCGCCGCCATACACAGACAGAACGCGGGCCAGTCAGAGCGGGGACACGCGCGGGGAGGGGGCTGAGCGGCCGCCGCCATACACAGACAGAACGCGGGCCAGTCAGAGCAGGGACACGTGCGGGGGCTGAGGGACCGCCGCCGTACAAACGCATGGACGCTGGGGTCACACCAAGGCAAGAACTTCATGCTAGACCTTGCAGAGGCTCTGGTGCAAGGAGATATGTAAATCATGGCTCGAAATATACCAAATACTTTACACTGCGCAGGACAACCAGACACAGGTTTATCAGTGACTACCACCGACTGATTCGCCGAAAGTTAAGGAAGAAGGCTAAAACACACTGAGATCGTCTAATAAGACTAGTAAATCACACGCGGTCCAACCATATCCACGCAGAGGAAAGTTCGTAAGCAGCTGAGAGTTTAGCCAGTGGACACACCATCTCATCGGGTGTAGCGTGACAGCCGCGGCTGGCGCGGTGCGTCCACTGACCGGCTCTGTGCAGCTTGTCGCGGGCGTCCAGCACGCGGTACCGGTCTGTGGCTGTGGCGGCCGGCTGTCGGAGCAGCGCGCGCAGCTCGGCCACGTTTAGTGTGGCGGTGGCGGCGGCGGCGGCGGCGGCGGCGGTCGGCTCGGCGGCCGGGGCGGCGGCGGCAGCTGACGCGGCGGCCGGGGCCACCCGGCGACGCGGCTTCGGCGCCGGCTCGCTGGGGGGAGGGGCGTCGGTCAGGGCCGCGTCCCCGGCGTGAGCACCGACGCGCCGGGGTGGTGTCGAGGTCGAGCGCTGGTGGGAGAGGGTGCGCTGGCTTCGTCACGTTTAACAGCAGTCGTGCGAATCAGCCCACCCACTACCTCGTTGGGTCACCCTATGATTGAGCGCTACAGTCAGCAGGCCTTCTAACAGGTATTCAATCGTGATCACAAGAGACAGCGACGAAAGCTGTCTCACCTCACCAGCGGTCGGCACGCTGGACGACTCGCTAAAGGTCCTTTCACTCACCAGCCTCAGTGAACACCGCTTACTGCCACTGGCCTGTTCCCTGCGAGGCCTCACCTATCATCGTGGGAGCCAGCGCGCGGCCCCGGCTCGCCCTCTGGCGGCGACTGGCCGGCCGGTCTGGCGGCGCCCGGCTTCACCGGACGCCGGAAGAACAGCCGCATGGGCGGCACCTTGGGGTGCACCTTCATGCCGCGCTTGCGGGCCTCGTCGGCCGACGCCTGGCGGCGAGGGACGCCGGTCAGGGCACGCCGGCCCGCGGCCGCTGGACGACACCTCTGCACTCACAGACGGGACCGGCAACAGCGTAATGATAGAACGAGCACCGCAGCTGAGGCGTCGCAAGAATCAGATGTGATGCGTCTGAACCCAACGTTAAATCATGGTTAAGAAAATCAGATTCCTGTGAGGAAAATGCTTTGACAAGTTGGTAACCCACAGGCGGGGGCATCCACAGACTACAACGACAGTTAAGCCGATCTCACCACAAGCCGGGCCATATGCTCCACACCATTTTGCCGCGCATTCACTCCGCCTGCACTGCCAGAGCCACAACTCCGGCGCCAGCCCCGCCACTGGCCGCCCGTCCTCCGCCGACGGCCAGCTCACATGGTCAACGAAGTGTACGGACGCCGTGTCCTTGGCTTTGTTGCAGCTGACGCGCACCACCTGGCCGTACTTGGAAAAGTGGCGCGTGAGAATGGTGCGCTCATTATAGCCTTGCGGCACGTCGGTGCAGAGCAGTGACGTCACCTCCCGCAGCTCCTCGACCGAGCTGAGCCGCTCCATGCGAGGGCTGGCCCGCGGCCCGGCCGGCGAGCCTGGCGGAGGTCGACCCGCTTGTCAGTCGGCGAGGCGCGAGGCACCGAAGCGGAGCGGTCAAAATCAGCGCCGCACGCCCGGTGGGAGGCGTTACGTGAAGGATGGACCTACGCAGGCGTGGCAAGAGCTCGCAGACAGGCAGACATACCAGCGACGAGAGTCGTACCAGGACGCCAACGCACCAATATGTCACCAGCCGCCACTTCAAATAACTGCACTGACAGATCCCACCGACCATGCTGGCGCCCCCCCCCCCCCCCCCCCCCCCCAACCCCCACCAGCAGCCATGCCTGAGGCTCTCACCTGCGGCCTGGGTGGCCTGCCGGGGCTCGGCCGGCTTGCCGAACAGGCCGGTGCGAGACAGCACGCGCCGGCTGGCCTCAGCCGCGCCGCCGGCCGCCGGCCGTTTCGCCCGCGGCGAGTCCGGGTTCGGCTGCGCGAACACAGACTTGACGGGCGACCGCTGGGCGGCCACAAGCGTGCCCACCGCCGCCGGCTCCGCGCCCTGGAGCGGCGGCGCGGCGGACCGTGCCTCGTCGGGCGCCGCCGGCTTGCCGAACAGTGCCGCCGCTGGCTTCGGCTTGCCAAACAGACCCGCTGTCGAGGGGCGGTCCGTGCCGAAGAGAGCGGCGGGCGCTGCGGCGGCGGTGGCGTCAGTGGCGTCGGCGGCAGCGGCCGAGTAAGGCGGGGGCGCGCCGTCAACAGTCGACTCGGCACTGAAGAGGCTGCGGACGGTGGCGGCCACACGGGAGGCGGCGGCGGCGGGGCGAGGCACGGCGCCCGTGCCGCCCGTGCGGGCCAGTGCACCGCTCGCGGGCGCAGCCGTCTGCGCAAACGCGCCGGCAGCGGAGGAGGCGGCGCCCGTCGGACCGAAGGCAGCCGAGGCAGCGGTGGTGGTTCGTCCGAAGGCGGCGGGGGCAGCAGGCTCCTGCTTGAAACCAGCAGAAGGAGAGGTACCCGACGCTTGTCCGAACACTGGCGAAGCTGCAGCGGTGGTGGTCTGTCCGAACACGGCTGAGGACCCGCTGGTGGGCGTCGGCATCTGTCCAAACAGCGCACCGGGAGCGGCTCCCGCACCGCCCGAGGCCGAAATCTGGCCGAACACGGGCGTTGCGGTGCCGGCCGGCCGACCAAACGTGGCCGCCATTGGCGCAGTTTGGCCGAACTGGCCGAACGCGGCGGAGGTGGTGGTGGCCGCGCCGAATCCCCCCGGTGGATGGTGCTGGCGACTGTCCGAACATGACACCAGGTGTGGTGGAGGGTTGTCCAAACATGGCTGCTGGCTGTCCAAATACGGCACTGGGCGTCGTCATTGGCTGTCCAAACATGCCTTGAGAGCTGGCAGGTGGTTGTCCCAATACCCCAAGGGCACTGGTAACTGGCTGACCAAACACACCTGGAGAGCTGGCAGTTGTGTGCCCAAATGCTGGACTGGCAGCCCCAAATGGCTGACCAACCATTGTTGTGGTGCTGGCACCTTGCTGCCCAAACATTCTGCTGGTCGTCATGGATGGCTGACCGATACCTCCTGTTCCGCTGCTGGTGGTTTGTCCAAACATGCCACTGGAGCTGGCATTAGGCTGTCCAAACATGCCTGTGGAACCCTGTGGAAGGTTGCACAAACATGCCTGTGGAGCTGGCAGCAGGCTGTCCAAATACTCCAGTGGAGCCAGAAGGCTGTCCAAACACACCAGCTGGGCTACCAAAGTTTCCAGCTGCACTTGCAGCAGGTTGCCCAAACATTCCTCCAGGGGAGACAGCAGTGGCTCCCAAAATTCCAGCACCAAATGTACCACTGGTGGCTGGCATGGCCTGACCAAAGATGCCAGTGTTGCTTGGGGCTGCCTGGCCAGGTGTCCCAGCAGACGTGCTTGATGGCTGGCCAAATGGGTATGGGGGAGGGTTGCCCCCACCACTGCCATGTCCTCCAAACATGGCAGTATGGCTGGAAAAGATAATATGTTATTAGTGTTAGTGCTCCATAAGTTTGTGTCACCAGCTAAGACTCAGATCTTAATGTGACTATGTTTCATGTGAAACTTCACCATATGCTTGTGTGACACCAGCATGACCACCTAACATAAGTCTTCCTATCAGGGCACTGCCAAATAACAAACATTTCAAATTTTGTGAAAGCTTTCATTACCACAACCCATTTTCCATGCCATGTGCATGTACCATATTAATAAATTTTGTTAAGACACCATATTCTCATTTTGCTTTTCATTCCCCACCCAAAGACATCATAATTGCTCCCATGTCGACCAATCTACAAACAGTGCGGAAGACTGTTTGGATACACAAGAAACATATTTCATTGGATTCCTGTTACATTGGCCCCAGTACATTTTTATGGTTCTTGATGCGCAGTAATGTTGTAATCACACGTAGCAATGGCGTCGGGGTCGCAAGTGCTGCGTGTCTGCAGCGCTCGGATGTTCACTATCGTAGTTAATTAAGTTCCAAGGTAAGCGTTTAGATGACCTGTTTTACGATTATTTACGATATGTTCTGCCTTAAAACGACGATTGATGTACCATGCTCTTTTTTTAAATGAGGTAGCAATGTATGCCATGACCATTCCTTATGTTTAATCCTTACACATTCATGAAAGTCATGAAACAAGCACACAGTTACCAAACAACAACTAACCGAACTAAGCAGCAGCCCTCCTGAAACAGACCGCACCCGACCCACTTTGCAACACCGACGCCCAAACTGTCGCTCCAGGGACGCCACTCATTCTTGCAATGCGCTGCGTTTGAAACTTTACGGTAAGAAATGCCTCAGTTCTAACTGTACACTGCACATAATTATATCGCGTAAAAATACAGATCTAAGTGCACCTGCATTGAATACTGTGCCAGTACTCTTACTGATTAGTTAAATGTGTCATTTTTAAAGCATTTTTTGTTGTACGTATAAGAGTTTGGAAATCTTCACAAAGTCGCGACTGTAAAATAAAGACTCTTGGTAACAGTCGCAAACGCGCTTGGATTCAAAACGCACACAGCCAACAAACGAGGCAAGCATCACGCCGCAGGGAACTTGAAAGTGATCCGCTCGGGCTCAGTGTATTTAAGAATTGTAAAGAAAGCTGGCGCTGTGAACTTCACACTTGGAGGTAGGAGGTTGCTATGATATCGGTGGTTTAGGTAACCCAGCTTATGAAGACAACAATGCGTGCTTTCTGTATGACTCACTAGGCACTCAAAAATGGTTCTGTTTAGGTTGGGTGACCACCAGCTAAAACAATACTGAACCCTTACTTACATTGGTGCAATTTTACAGTTGTGATGTTATTGTGGTGTCCTGCCCACACTAGCATTACCATTGTAATTCTTACATGGTAAAGCCACATGCATAATGTGTTTAATGGCGCGCGATGTTTTCAATGTCTATGGTATCCCTCTAACCATCAAATACTGTTTGTTACGTAAGTGGTGCATAACTAGGAAACAGCATTGCTTTCAGCTGATGAGCCCAGGCCTCAACAGCTGCCACTATGCTTTTGACACTGCATAATTCACACCTTATGGTGCCTAGACAATGCAATCTGATGTGGAAATCATACATCCCACTGGCAATCAGCAATTGCAATCTGGTTTGTCACAGCTAGCTTCCATTGTTATCTGGTGGCAGTCAGGAAGACATCGGGATGCCTTATCTGTTTAATGTTGAGGGTAAGCTGATGCAATCATGCTCACCATATATGAAAACAATGCCTGGCGTGCGATGTTTTCAATGTGTATGGTATCCCTCTAACCATCAAATACTGTTTGTTACTTAAGTGGTGCATAACTAGGAAACAGTATTGTTTTCAGCTGGTGAGCCCAGGTCTCAACAGTTGCCACTATGCTTTTGACACTGCACAATTCACACCTTATGGTGCCTAGACAATACAATCTGATGTGGAAATCATACATCCCACTGGCAATCAGTAATTGCAATCTGGTTTGTCACTGCTAGCTTCCATTGTTATCTGGTGGCAGTCAGGAAGACATCGGGATACCTTATCTGTTTAGTGTTGGGGGTAAGCTGATGCAATCATGCTCACCGTATATGAAAACAATGCCTGTGCTGTAAAGTGCCGCAGTTACAGGGTAGGTCACATCAAAATTAGGTATGCAATTAAACTCACTTTCATCTCAATATTTGACACATATATCAACATCGACTGCTGCAGGCGTGTCTTAAGACTTCACAATGAGTAACGCCTGTGTGGAGGAAGACCCGGTGTTGGAGCGGAACTTCCACGGCCACCGGGACACTGTAACGGCCGTGGACTTCCATCCGAGCACGTGCCAGGTGGTGTCCTCCAGCCTGGACGCCTGCATCATGCTCTGGAACTACCAGCAGCAACAGCGTGCCTTCAGGTCAGGCGTTTCGGATGCTGTCTGGCATCATATCCATTTTATTTACCTATGTATTTCACGCTCACTTACGAATTCGCAATGTACATCTTTGAACATGCCTGCTGTCCTCAGCCCATGTAACATATTCTTTGCATGTCGCTTAGGCCGCCGTACAATCCACAACAAGAGACAGTGTTCGGGTTGGTGCCTATAGCCAGCTGATCTCAAGTAGTTCCGCACTGCTGCCACTACGGAGTCCTGTGACCACGCCGTGGCGGCCGAGACCGCCCCAACTGTTTGGGCGCCAAATGACCGTGGCTGGCGTGACCCAAAACCTCAGTTGTCATCAACCCAGTCCAACTGTTGTCCGTCCGGCAGACTGAATGGGCCACAAGGAGCCGGTGATGGACGTGCAGTTCTCGCCTTCGGGTAACCTGATCGCCTCTGGCTCCCGGGACCGCACCATCCGGCTCTGGGTGCCCTCCATCAAGGCGAGCTAGCTCCACCGGCCTCGTCGCCCGCCTCGCGTCTATGCTAAAGCATCTGTTTGTGTTGTCAGTCCGATCACAGCTTTGCTTCCAGTCCAAGCCTCGCTAATACGTGTAATATACTTAGCGCTTCATTTCTTTTCGTGAAGCTCCGGCACAAGGCCGCTAAAAGTAGCAATGTCGCCAGCTCTCAGACTGTGTACGGCCTAAATTATCATGGTGACATATCTCTGACGTCTAGCCAATAGTGCTGAGATGCCTTTGCGGCCACTTTCGCAAGACAGCTCGGGCCAGCCCAGCCACTAGCGCTGACAGCGTTCTCCCGGTGCGGCAGGGTGACTCGGGCATGTTCAAGGCGCACATGGGGACGGTACGCAGCGTCAACTTCTCCCCGGACGGCCAGATGCTGGCCTCCGGCTCCGACGACAAGTCCATCAAGGTGTGGACCGTGGCGCGGCACAAGTTTCAGTTTTCTCTCGCCGACCACAAGAACTGGGTCCGCTGCGTCAGGTAATAGTGTGCAGCCTTCGGGAGTCGGTCCGTTGGAGCCCCCAGGTGCTCTGTGGTTACTCCTGCACTGATAACGTCCGAATTACGGATGGAATCCTGTGAGAGCTCCCACTCGACGATGTGGCGATGCACATGGACTGACGTTCACTTTGTGCCGCAGTTCCAGTGCTCCTAGCTTTTCGGTGAAATGCACTAAGGCTCCAATGTCGTGTCGGCGGGCGTTTATAGTAGCCGTGGTGGTGGGCGCTGCATGACCTTCAGCAGTCGATGCGCCCTAAAACCCCAAATCATCATCATCATCATCATCATCAGTAGCCGTGGTGGGAGCATATGTTCGCGTTATGGACCCCACCCCACCCCACCCCTTGTCTCTCGCTTTCTCCCGCTGCGATCTATATTACAATATTTTCGTGATCCTCCATCTCAGTGGATCCCACCCATGACCCTGTTGTCATTCCCCACCTCCTCCAGTGGTGTCCGTCACTCCTCGCTCCTTATCCTCCAACATCCTCACCCCACTCGTGATCCCCCGTTACCCGCGCTTCGCGTGATCCACCGTACTCCTCCCTCCCCCGTTACCTTTCGTTACTGTCAGTCTCTTGGTCCCTCCTGAGGCCTTCCGCCACCATTTTCTTCCCTTGTCCCTCATGTTGTCCCCCTCCCCTTGTCGATTTGTCTTCCCCTGCCTCCCGTGCCCCTACTTTGCTGCTTCGCTCCTTTTCCAAGCACCCGTCACCCCTCACTGCTCGCCGGCCTGGAGTCACTCGTCGTTATGGCCGCCCGTAACGCAGCGTGCGGCGGCAGGTTCTCGCCGGACGGCCGGCTCATCACCAGCACCTCGGACGACCGCACCGTGCGGGTCTGGGACTGCCGCACACAGTGCTGCGTGCACACCTTTCACGAGGCCAAGGGCTTCTCGCACCACGTCGAGTTCCACCCGGCCGGCTCCTGCATCGCTGCCGCCGGCTCCGACAACGCCGTCAAGGTGTACGACGTCCGCATGCGCAGTCTGCTGCAACACTACGCCGTCCATACGGCGCCCATCAACAAGGTAGGGTCAGGCTCAGGCGTGCGCTGGCGGAACTTTGGCCACTCTGGGGACGCTCAGTACACTCGGTGGCGCATCGGCGTCTCTTTTGGGCACGATCTCGGTACGGTTGCGTGGTCGGGGGGCCAAAAACGCAGTTTGCTGGATGGATAGGATATGACTTGTTTAAAAAGGTTTGTTTTGTTGGTAAACTGATAGCAGTGATGTTGCCAGCCCCTGATACAAGTCTGGACGTGCCGTGGGTGTGCTTTTCACGCCTACGCAGCCCGAAACGAGCGTATTTTATTGACTTGCCCTCTACCAGTATCGCAATGCGTACGAGCGTAGGCGACCATGCCACCTGCGCGGCCGCCGGCAGGTGTCGTTCCACCCGTCGGGAAACTTCTTGCTGTCGGCGTCGCACGACGGCACGTTGCGCGTGTTCGACCTGCTGGAGGGGCGGCCGTACTACACGTTGCACGGCCACCGGGGTCCGGTCACTGCCGCCGCCTTCGCGCGCGACGGCCACCACTTCGCCTCGGGCGGCACCGACGAGCAGCTGTTCGTGTGGCGCACCAACTTCGACCGGGAGGTGAGGCGCCGGCCGGCCGAGGCTCGAGGGCGCCGCGCACCGAGGACAGCCGGTGACTGGGGGTCTGCGCGGCGCGCCGGTACTCCACATGATACACGCTGGCAGTCCCATGTTAAGACATCGCTTGAGTCGCTTTCAAGATGCAGTGACCCTGCTCCATTTCCCCTCTTCCGTACTCACTGCACGCCCTGGCGTGGTTTGGCATGAGCGTTTGTCGGACGAGGAGGCCGATCTGGTTGGATGCGGTGCACCTGTCTTGACGCCACGCACGGCTCGTCAGATGGGGCGTGGCGGGACGCGGGACGCCATCTCGCTCTTCCCGAGTGAGCGCGCCACCTCGCACCACTTGTGCCAGTTTGGGGTCGCCAGAGGACCGCCGACAGGACCGGTGTCTGATTCAGGCCGTGAACATAGGCATGCGATGGTTCAGGCTTGGCAACACATTGCGAGCCAGGGTGTCCATCTGTTTTCCTTTCCACCTTTATCGCACACTGCAGTCCAGTCCTGTCCTCGTCACGGCTGCCTTAGAACTATCAAGAACGTCTAATAGGCGCTGCGTCTGCCGCATAGCCTTTAAGTGATGTCACGTGGAAATGTATGCCGTTCGGCTCGCAGCGAGCGGCCAACAAAGCCACCTGCTTCCATACCGCATACCGCATACCCATGTGTTTCTCTGATAGAGGTATTCCCAAGGATCCTAGCACTTCTCACCGTTTTTGTTCCCAGCTGAGAGGTGCTGTCCATGCAACGGCATGTTTTAACTAAGATTCGATGACATTTTGCGCAGTTTTGCGTTGCGGCATTTCTTGTGACGACAAAGATGGGTAAATCATTCACCAGTTTTAATACAACCAAGTTCTAATTTTTTTCCTGTATTGAAAGAAATAAGCTCCACTTGATTCTACGTAACTATTCAGTGTTTTGCATTTACCGTTGTAAACGTTATTTGGACAGCAACACAGAAGTGCCCGCTACAGTTGTAAAGTTGGGCTACCATCATGCACGCCTCGTCCTCAGTCAGGTACAGCAGCTCACTGGGCTGCGAGGCCTACAAGTCGAATGCGGCCAACATCCAGCAGATTGCCTGCAGAAAACTGGCGTTTCCTCACATTGGTGCGCCCTTCCCAGTAGTGGAGGCTCCCTCCGAGCCGGCGTCCACGGTTCCCTAGTTTCCATTCATCCCCACTAGGTGGCAGTGTACCACTGCAGTGATCTCACCGTCTCGATCGACGCATGCCGTGTAGGGTAATCAGCAGCCCCACTGCCCATACTCACCGTGCTGAACGCCCTCACTGCACTTTCGGACCGGTTGCAGGCCTACGGAGCGGGTACCTAACTCCCTCGTCACCCGGCAGATGGCAGATCCCGCGGAGCTCTAACTCTTGCCTCTCTCGACAGATGGCGGTGTCGAGCAGCGGCAGCGTGATCCCGCAGATGGAGACGGGTACGGAGAACACGCGGCCGGACGTAGACTGCTCGCGGCTGGCGGACGAACGGCGCGACGAGCTGCCGCCCGAGTCGGAGACGGAGAGCGTGCCGTCCGGTCCGCAGCCGACGCGGCCTCGCTGCTGCCGGCGGCGACGGCGGCGAACTGGGCGAGATCAAGTCAATGGTGCAGGGCATGATGCAGCAGATGGAGCTAGTGACGCAGACCGTTTTACTGCTCGAGGAGCGGCTCAAGCTGGCCGAGGACAAGCTCTGCGAGATGGCGGGGGCCGACCCGCACCGCAAGGACTAGTTCCGCACCGGCGGCGCGAGGACTGCCGGAGCACCAGCTTCGCAGACGCTGAAATACCGTCCAGCGGCGCATGGACTGGCTGTGGATCAGCAGTGCCTGATCGGTAGCCGCGCCATGGCGTTTGTTCTGAGTGTGGATCAGCAGAGTCGGGACCAGCCATTGATGACCACTTCAGTCCGCAAAAACTAAGCGCGAATAAGTATCGCGGGCACTACGTGTTGACCGGCACAGGGTCCAGTCTTGTCCCGGCGTTGCAGGGGGCGTGGATCATCGAACCTGACGTGGTGTGCTTGATTACAATTGACGGTAAGGCGGTCATTGGCTTCAGCGTGATGGCTTGGCCACGTGCGAGTGAGTGCTTCTTGTGGGTGACTCGTCGGCGTGTTCGTCCGCGCTTGGCGTGAAATCACGAGGACTGTTGGGAGATAGGTAGATACCGCTGGCATGTATGGCTGGCGTTGTTCTTCATGCCCACCATTTCTGTGATGTACATACTGCCTTTCCTTCATAATTTGCTCTCCTCGAGACGAGGGCTCGCTTGCGCGCCGACTCACCGCTGATTTCTAGCCACCTTTCTTTGAAATATGTTAGCTAACGTTATGATTATTTGTTGTAAATTGTATGCTTCCATAAATGCATGACACATTAGTAGCTGGGAAATCGTGAGCAGTGTTTCGCATTTAGTTGTTGCCGTAGCTCTCCGTTAATACACATATGAGGTAGAGAAGCTTGTCTGAGGCGGGGTGGTCCTTGGGACATCCTCACAGTGATGATCACAAAGGGGAGCAACGCGATCCCAATTACCGTCTCGGCGGCAATGACCCTTTTCGACACGTCTTATTCCCTGACGTCTTCGATGCTGCCCACTTGGCAATCATCGCTAAAGCCAGCGGCATGCGCGATGTATCTCAGAGCACATTTCGTACCCTGTGCCTGTTCTGACTCCTTTTGAAACTTCCGCGTCACAGCTGTTTAAGAGGAAGAAAACAAGGGGAGGGGGCCTCGCAATGCGCGTAGTTTGGGTTCAAGGTCGTTTGACTCGTTTGGAGGCGTCAATGAAGGCACTTAAATAGCGGCAATAACAAGGCCACGTGGACGGTAAAAGGATATTTCGATCTCAAGTGACCTCGACTCTTTTACTGGATCGTGGCGGTATTGGCTTCCGAGGCGAAGTGGTTCTTCTCCCAAGGAAAACTGACAAGGACCCCGAGCAATGAAGATGGGATTGACGTAAAATAATATTTTGTTCTATAGATTACTAGTGTAACTAGTGGTCTGTAGTCTCTGTAGTGGTCTAGTGGACTTCCTACTAGTGTGATAGAAAAGAAGGGAGTGGGATAGGGCGGCTGTCAAGGCGGACCTCGGGGATAGGACGGGTGTCAAGCCTGTGGGCGGACCTCGGGGATAGGACGAGTGTCAAGCCTGTGGGCGGACCTCGGGAATGGGGCGGGTGTCAAGCCTGCGGGCGGACCTCGGGGTTGGGACGGGTGTCAAGCCTGTGGGCGGACCTCGGGGATAGGACGGGTGTCAAGCCTGTGGGCGGACCTCGGGGATAGGACGAGTGTCAAGCCTGTGGGCGGACCTCGGGAATGGCGCGGGTGTCAAGCCTGCGGGCGGACCTCGGGGATGGGGCGGGTGTCAAGCCTGCGGGCGGACCTCGGGGATAGGACGGGTGCCGGGCCTGCGGGCGGATCTCTGGAATAGGACGGACGTCGAACCTGCGGGCGGACATCTGAGACAGGGCGGGCGTCGGACCTGCGGGCGGACCTCTGGGACAGGGCGGGCGCCAGACCTGCGAGCCGGACCTCACACGGCCGCTGCAGCCGGCCCAGACGCCGCTGGCTGGGCCTTCGTCTGCCAGGGGCCGGCCGCAGCCGCAGCAGCTCAGTAGTTGTAGCCGAGAGAGCATGCGGTGCCGTTTCTCTCCACGCATCATCCGCTCCAGATGGGCAGCGGCGCTCGGTTGCCACTCAGGAGGAACCTTGCGCCGTGCCGCTCCGTGGTCGTAAGCGCACGGGCGCACGCGGCTGCGGCGTCCTGGCAGCAGGCTTGTTAGGCGTACGCCGGCGCGGCCGCAGGGCCGGCTTGTGTGACGAACGTGCTCTGTCCGACCGGCAGTCTGCACCTCACCACCATGTGCCTGCAGTGTCGGCCCACGCTGGTGGCCTGTGCGTGCATCCGCGTCACATTCGAGCCGGCCGGGCGGGGGGCACGTGGCGACACGGTGTGGCCGGCAGGTCAGCTAGCGCTGTCGGGGGTCGTGTGCTGCTGTGCCGATCAAACAGGGACGGTGGCATGTGCTCTTTCTTGGTGTCCGTGTGCAGAATTGCTAGAGCATGGAGCACCATGTGATTTTATTTTGCGCACATGCTGTCTGATTCACGCGCAGCGGAATGTAAGCCACATCATGCATGCGGATCAAGAGAGAGAGAGAGCAGAGTAGCCGGATGTTCTGAACCCATAGCACTACCTTGCTTTCGTGAAGCCCTTATCCGGCAATGTTTCGCAACTAGGTGTGATATTTCAGAATTATAGTCTGCTCCTATCACGACGTGCTGGAAGTTTAAACGATTTAAAGCAAGAAAAAATTGTATTTGATTAGCACGAACAAGGCCGGAACCCAGGCGAGTTTCACTTAAACTATGGCAAGATTTTTGCACTGAGTGGCGGTGCTGGAACTTGAGTGACCCGGCCTGGCTTTTGAGAAGCAATACTTGCATTTACCAAGTGCAGGTTCACTGGGTTTCCAGCAGCGATAAAGCGAGTTCTTTAGAATTCGTTTCGTGCATTGTTTTGATACTTGCATGCAAGGCTGTATGGCCGAGCGGGCTGCTCCGGCAGCATTGCAGCATCACTAGTATCTCACCCATCTCTGGGATAAGTATGGGAAAAATATTTTAGCATTTCCGCAATGCTGAAGAATAAGTACCAAGACCAGGTGCCGATCTCGATGACTCACTATAACGCGAGCCTGACGTTACTTTAATGCAGACGTTACAATAATGCAGGCCGGACGTTACAATAATGCAGGCTGGATGTTACAATAATGCAGGCCGGACGTTACAACAATGCATGCCGGACATCGCATCATGCGACCCGGGCGTTTGTTGTTTGTCATTGGGACTTTACGACGCACTCAGCTGCTGAGGCTATATGGCGTCGCCTGCCTCTCACCCTGCCAGGAAGGGCGGGCGCCACGGGGAATCGAGCCCCGTACCTCTGGTTTCCCAGACGCGCAGTAGTTAACGCAGACACGTTAACCACTACACTACCGGCACCCCTCGACCCGGGCGTTACTATCACGCGAGCCGGACGTTACTATAGTGCAGGCCGGACGTTACAATAATGCAGGCCGGACGTTTCTACCATGCGACCCGGACGTTACTATCACGCAAGCCGCTGTTCTCTATCTTGCAGTGCTAGGATCAGCCCTCGGGCCGGGCTTATGGCTCTGCCGACGCGTGGGCCTTCGAGCAGAGACGACGCCGGCGCCGTGGGTCCGCATCTCGCCACGGTTTACAACAGCCGGTCCAAGAAATCAATAATTCAGCCGCCCTTTTATTTATTTACATCCTAAGAATCCTGATCTAGGTTAACAAAGTGCCACTACCGTGCCAACGCACTGCAATCAGTTGTTCAGAAGAGCGCCGGGGGCCAGTACGAACACCAGCTACGGGCAGAGCGGTTCAAACCGGCGAACAGACCTGTACAGACCGCAGAAGACGACCGCAGGACGCGACCATGGCGAGCGCCGACGCCCGGATGCGCATCTGGCATAGGTCGCATGCACGCTAGGCCACGGGCGACGCTCTCCGCTCACACCACACAAGAGAAGCGACAGACGGAGAAGAGGCGCCCGGCCGACCCCGGGCGTCCGCGGAGTTTCTCAATCGCACAACATACAGGTGGAGGACGGGGTTCAATGACGAAGATAAGGCTGTATGTAACCATCGCCACACGGAGGAGGTAATTTGCACGATAAAATCGATATCTAGAGCGCTAAGACGGATGGCATTTCAGACTCCATCATTTGCGGGGCTTTCTGTCAAACGTGTTCCGCGTCGCCCACACAAGTGCCATCCCGCCGGCCTCAGGCACAACATTCCAACACTCACACGTCATCATGCACGCACTGGCTACGGGTAACAATCCTCCTGACGACCGCCACACTCACAGACATCCGCTTACACCCCCTCGACTGAAGGTAGCTCACTCTCTCACCAGAGGCCAACGCCCATCGCCAAGACAGACGCTCCACCCATTCACCAGCACACCCAGCCAGTTGGCTAGCCGCACCACCACCGACAGTCCGGCTCCTGCCCCGCTCGCGGGAGACGGCGCGGCGACCGCCGTCGGCACCACCCGCCGGCGACGTCCGCGCAGCCCTCGCTGCGGCGTCCCTCCGCGACCTGCCCGGGCGAGGCGGCGACCGCTCGGCCTCCGCCGCGTCAACCCCTCACGAGCGGGCGCACCGCGTTCTCGGTGACCAGCAGGCTCAGCGTTGGAGCCGGCTCCCGCGCCGCCGCAGCCCGCGCCACACCACACGGCGGGGCGGACCACCACGCCGCTCACTACTTGACGTGTTTGGCGGCGGGCGGCGTGTTCCACTGGGCGCTGGAGGTGCGCTTGAAGAAGCAGCGGCGCGGAATGGTGAAGATCTCCTCCAGCCGCACGTCCGGGAATAGCTCCTCGCGCGTGAAGATGAGGAAGGCATTGGCGGCGCGGAACTCCTGTGCAACCAGCGCCATCTGCAGACGCGAGCCTGCAACAGTGACCGGACAGGTCAGGGCGGGCGGCGACGGAGGTCGATCAGGCAGGTCACGGCCCCCTGATCTGGTCGTTGCCCCCACCTGGCGTCGTGGCGGAGCGCCCGACACAGACTCGGACGGCCTCGCCCCGGCTCCGGCGACTGGCGGCTCACCTGTGGCCCAGGCGGGGATGACCTTGCGCGGCGCCGACTCGTCGTCGGTGCTCTGGTCCGAGCCGAGGTCGTCGATGTTGTAGTTGTCCTTCTCGCGCAGCGGCTCCGGCGGCCGCTCGTCCCGGCCCGGCGTGATGTCGTAGCTGGTCGGCGGCGCCGGCGCCGGCGTCGTCTTCTCCTGCTTCGTCCAGCGTGAAGGTGGAGTTCAGCGCCGACTTGGCTGGCGCCGCCGCCTGCCGGGCGTGACGCCGGGTCAGGGCCGCGGGCGGGGGCGGTGCGGCGGCGGTCACCGCACACCACACGCCGGCGCCACGCGTCGGGGGAGCCGGCGCTGGGACGGCGGTCGGTGCCGGCGCCGCCAGCCGCGGCACAGCCTGGCACGGTCGGCCGCGTCGCAGCGCCGCGCAATACAGAGGAGGTCTCTCCGCAATCTCGACCCGCAACACGACCGGGTGCCGAGTTATGCGCTAAGCTGGAGCTGCCCTTGCGTCAGGTTAATAGGTTCTGGGTGTGAGCAACAAGCCCTGCCTCGGATGTGCCGGCACGGAGCCAACGTGCAGCTAATTCCAAGGAACCTGGGATTGGTGACACCTCGGGGCTATCTGTGGAACCGCTGTGACAATGACAATGGGTTACTCGAACGCACTAAGGAACACATTTATCACTGCTAGAAGAAAATATCAGGGCAGTTAGCTCCAAAAGGCTAGGAATATTGCTGAAGCCATGTATAAGCACTTATAGTGGACAAAGCCCACACAATCAATGCTGTTAGAAAACATATCACATGCATAAATCACTGCTATAGCTATCTCTCTGGGTGAAAACAGCCTCTACAGTTGACGCACCATTAGAGTTCAATTACCAACTATTACGATCCTCCTCCCTGCCTCCGACCAGCCCATCCGTTCCTGACCTTAGCAGTGGCCGCGCGCTGCGCCGCCTCGCGCTGCGCTGCCTCGCGCTCAGCCAGCCGCGCCAGCTCGGCCTGCTCGCGCGCGATCCTCTCGGCCTCGCGCTGTCGGAGTCGCTCGGCCTCGCGCTGACGCTGCTGGCGCTCCTGCTCCTGGCGGCGGCGCTCCTCCTCCTCCAGCAGCTGACGGGCGCGCGCGGCACGCGCCTCCTCCTCGGCGCGCCGCTTCTCGTCCACGTCGCGCTGCCGCTCGGCCAGCTGGCGCCGCTTGCGCAGCGCCTCCTCGCGCCGCTTGTTCTCGGTGGCCAGCTGCGCTGTTTCGACGCGCTCCTCGCGCTCCTGCTGGCGCCGCTGATGCGCCAGGCGCTGCTCCTCGGCGCGCTGGCGGCGCATCTCCAGCGCGCGCTGCTGGCGCTCCTCGCGCTTCCTGCGCGGGAGGGATGGGTGCGGCGATCAGCGGGGACTACCGGCGGAGGGGGGCGGGGGGATGGGACCGCCGGCGCGGACCACGAAGGTAGTTGCGCAGTGAAATATCGGGTGACGGGCAATGTTTTTCCTCACCACCTCAGACATGGTCACAATGGGGCATTCAGTCAACAGCATGTATGAAATGCCATGTCACCTTTAAGTATTGAGATCCAACAACTTAGACTGAAGCTATTAACACAAATGACTCGGTACTCAGCCCTAAGAGAAAGACAACTGAAAGCAGCGTTTTCCAACTGAACACACCAAAATTAAACCGTCCCATTTTGGTCTATGAGAACAAACAACCAAAAGCATCTCCCACAATTTGCTCTCATCCGTTTCTGATCCCCTGCGCTAGCGTCACCCACTGTCGCTCCTCCTCCACGCGCTGTCTGAGCTTGTCATCGCGCTTGCGGCGCGCCTCCTCCTCGCGCTCGCGCTTGCGCTGCAGCTCCTGCCGACGCCGCTCCTCCAGCTCTTCGGCGGACGGCTTGGCCGGCGCCCGCTGGATGAAGCTGCCTCCAGTCCACCGGCATCGCTATGTTGGCGCCTCGCTGTCGCGCCGGCTGCGGGAGAGAGTCCGACGTGTTGTGTCATACAGGCGTAAGAACAACGCCAGTAACACTGAGTTACAGCAAACAAATGTTATACCCTCAAAAACAAACATTAGCGTATTTATCCGCGCACTCACTGTAGAGGAATGAGCCCAAACTTTGAGGTGTTTACATAATGCAAGCGCAATGGTACTGGAAAGGAGACACCGCAAGGATAGAAGCCCGACCTTAGAAAATACGGACGGGATCGGCCCCGACACCACGCAGATGAACAGGACAGACTGGTGGCCGCGCAGGTGGTATGCCTGGAGAGTTAATAGAGGAAGGCGCGCTCGCAATACCCTGATACACCTAACAGGCACTCAAAACTCGACTACCATCCTCCACCACCAACCTGAGGCGTAGCCCTGATGACCTTGACCCTGCCTGCCTTGCCGGTTGTGTCTGGCGGGGTCAGCTGGCGCGCGCGGCCGGCCGACTCGGGCGGCGACTCCTCGGATGAGGCCGTCTGCGACAGGTCGCCCGCCTCGGTCGGCGGGCTGGCCGACGGCGCGACCGGGGCAGCGGCGGCGGCGGCCGCACGGGTACGCGTCAGCCGCCGTTCGGCCGCGTCCGGCTCCGGCTCCGCGGCGGCGGCCGGCACCGGCTCCGGCTGCTGTGCCGCCTGCGTGCGCGTGAGGCGACGCTCGGGACCCGGATCGGCGCCGGCTCCGGCGCGCGTCTGACGGCCCCCGGCGGCCGGCGAGCCGCGCGGCTCCGGAGGAGGCGGATCTCCGGCCGGCGCCGGCCGCGAGCGCGTCTGACGGCGTGCTTCGCCGCTCTCCGGTGCCGACGACACGCGACGCACCTGCGACTTAGCGGGAGGCACCGGATCGACGCCCTCCGGGTCAGACACGCACGCCTGGTCGGTGGTGGCCTGGTGGACGGGTTCGGCGGCCGCTACGGACCGGGTCTGTCGCCGCGCCGCCGCCGCCGGCGCCTCGTCAGCATGAGGTGGCGTCAGCGCCGCGGCCTCGGCCGCCGCACCACCGGCGGGTCTCCTGCCAGCCGCCGGCTGCCGGTCGGCCTCGCTCGGAGCGGTGGCCTGCGCTGCGCGTGTCCTGGTCTGGCGCCGGACCTGTGGAGAGCCGTTCTCCTCAGCCTCCACTGCCGCCGGTGGCGCCACCTCAGCGGCCGCCGTCACCGCTGGCGCCGTATCCTCCTCCACCTCCATCGCCGTCGGTGGCGACTTCTCCACAATTTCCACCGACGTTATCTTTGCGTCCTCTTTATCCTGCGCGCTCTCCGGCAGCGCGTGTGCGCGTCTGCCGCTGGTGCCGCGGCGGGGTCTTCTCGTACGGCTCCTTCAGCTCAGCGTCACCCTGGTCCTGCGTCGTCTCGGCCGCTCTGGTGCGCGTCTGGCGCCGGTTAGGAGGCGTCTTTTCAACAATTTCCACTGACGTCATCTTCGCGTCCTCTTCATCCTCTGCGCTCTCCGCAGCGCGTGTGCGCGTCTGCCGCTGGTTCCGCGGCGGGGTCTTCTCGTCCGGCCCTTTCAGCTCAGCGTCACCCTGGTCCTGCGTCGTCTCGACCGCTCTGGTGCGCGTCTGGCGCCGATTAGGAGGCGTCTTCTCAACAATTTCCACTGACGTCATCTTCGAGTCCTCTTCATCCTGCGCACTCTCCACAGCGCGTGTGCGCGTCTGCCGCTGGTTCCGCGGCGGGGTCTTCTCGCCCTGCCCTTTCAGCTCAGCGTCACCCTGGTCCTGCGTCGTCTCGGCCGCTCTGGTGCGCGTCTGGCGCCGATTAGGAGGCGTCTTCTCAACAATTTCCACTGACGTCATCTTCGTGTCCTCTCCATCCTTGCGCACTCTCCCGCCGCACGAGTACGCGCCTGCTGTTGGTTCCGAGGCGGCGTCTTTATCTCGGCCGACGCATCCTTCGCTGCACCCTTCCCGCCCTTCATCTCGGCACCATCCTGGCCCTGCGCGGTCTCGGCCGCTCTGGTGCGCGTCTGGCGCCGGTTAGGAAGCGTCTTCTCCGGCTGGGTCGGCGGCGAGGGCGGCGAGGTAGGAGCGGGGGACGTCGGCAGTGACCGATGGTGCCGCCCGCCGCCGGCCTGGCGTGGAGGCGTCATCCGAGCCGCCCACCAGCGCCTCGTACGCGCGCACCATCGTGCGCACGGCCGGCTTCTCGACCACGCTGTGAACACGACACGGCCCGGCCTCAGACAGGAGCCGCGGCAGTCGCAGGCCACGGCCGCACAGCGGAGGCCGGCGTCAGCACGACCGTCGCGAGGGTGGTCTCTGAGATATACCAAGTAGGATAAATTAAACGCAAAAAGCGTGCGTGCAAGGATTTTGAGCAAACATTTTCAGTCATAAATAAACAATACGAAGGTAGATCAGAGGCAATATGCGACAAGAAGGCGAGTTAAAATGAGGAAACAAGTGCACGCTAACTTGACAGATTAGGCCTGCCCACAACATGTAGGCAATGCTACTTTCTTAGCGGGCACAGGAATTCGTATGCATAAATCCATTGATACCAACAGACCCTGGACACCCAGAATACCAGCCTTTTGGACTCGACCCCCCGCTCTAACGCTACGGGTAAAGTCCGCCGAGACCGACGCTACCCCAACAGGGTGCTAGTCTACCGTAACGCCCATGTCACGGCTACAATTTCGCCGCATCATTACCACAAAGAGCCAATTCCCGACCTAAAAATCTGGAAACCAGCCGCATCCGGCCAATATGTAGAAATGTGTGGATCCGACGAATCAATAACTTCAGTTCTTTTGCAGCTCTAGCCTCTTCATCTAATGTTCTCCTCAACTTTCGAAGTCTGGTTAGCAAGCACACTCTCATGATCTTTGTTATCAAATGCTTTCGAATAAACCAATCACACCATTTTCGTTATAATTCAGCATTGGCGAGCGCCCACGGCAATCCAGGAATACTCATGTAACACGGGCGCCACAGGCCACAGCGCTGACATCGTTTGGAGATGGCGTCGTGCCTGAGTGTGGCCGTGCTTTGATCAAGCCAGCGCCAGCGGCAATCCAGAAACACTGATGTAACACAGGTGCCACAGGCCACAGCGCTGACATCGTCTGGAGATGGTCTCGTGCCTGAGTGTGGCCGTGCTCTGATTGAGTTAGCGTCCACGGTGGATCCAGAAACACTGGCGTAACATAGACACCACAGGCTACAGCGCTGACATCGTTTGGAGATGGCGTCGTGCCTGAGTGTGGCCGTGCTCTGATCGAGCCAGCGCCCGCGCCACGTCTGGGCACCGCTCACAGCCGCCATTTCCCGTCGCGGGCACGGACGTCCCCGCGGTCGCCTCACCTGATGTAGGGACTGGCCGGCGTGCGCGGCGCCGGCGACGTCTGCTCGCGCGTGCGCCGCACGTCCGGCGGCGTGCGCGGCGCGGCACGCTTGCCGCGGCGTGGTGGGCGGCGCGCAGCCGGCGCCTCCTCCTCGCTGTTGTCGTCCGTGGAGGCCCACTGGGCGGACTCGTCGGCACCGCCGGGCAGCCGGCCGCGGCGCACTTCGTCCATGAGCCGCTGCTCGGCGCGCACGCACGAGCTGCGGGGCCGACGCAGCTTGCGGGCCGGCTGGTTCTGCTTCTGCCGCGCCAGCGCCATCTTCACCGTGGCCACCTGGCGACAGACCAGCGGCGGTCAGCCAGCGCATATACCGTATGGAGACCGTATCCGCATGTCTCGGAGACGTCAGTTCGTAAGCATTTCAAGTGCGAGTCCGCACATAGTACAGGTCCGTATACAGCACGAGTTCGTATAAAGTATGGGTCCGTATAAAGTACAAGTTCGTATATAGTACGTGCTCGTAAACCGTACAAGTTCGTATATGGTAAGTGTTCGGATGCAGCATGAGTTCGTACATAGTATCGGTTCCCATATAGTATGAGTTCGTGTCTAGTTTGAGCCTGTATATAATACAAGATCGTATACAGTAGGAGTTCACGTACAGTACGAGTTCGTACACAGTACGTGTTCGCTCACTGTATAGTACGAATTCGTACTACACAGCACCAAATAGACCTGCATTCCCGCATTTCCGTCTGCGTGCTACCAAGCGGCAGTAAGTATAACAAACACCATACAGTCCCTTACAGAACCCCATGACATTTGACTGCGGCTGGGGAGTTAACTAGCCTGAAACGTTGTGGACAACTGACATACCAGACGAGGACGACAGTCCCAACAATTGTTCCATGCGTGGCCTGCACTATACCTGAGATGGGACCGCCCATATATTACGTTACGCATGGAGGGAAGATGGAATGGGGCTTGTAATACAACCAGTTTTACACGGGGAGGGTGTTGGACAGCGCAACATTATGCTTGCGTTTGGTTGGCAGTCACGTCAAAGCCCCTTTAGGAATGTGTTGAACTTCAGTCGGATACCGCTCTACTGTTTAAAAGCAAGACGGCTTAAGCAAAGCAGGTAAATTGTTCACGAGAAACATTTTTTTGGTGTGTTTCGGAGAATTTAATATGCTTATGTGTCTAAAAAAATGAGCCCACTTTGACTGAACTTTTCTCTTAGAATGTTTAACTTGAGATCGCAAATGCAATTATTCGAGCGGCATCAAAAAACACAAATGGCACTTGGCCTGTTACCTCCGGACAACAGCGTTGGTTTCATCTCATGACAAGCAACGGGTCCATCTTGTTTTTGCACCCTTAGTTCAATCGGGGCCAAACAGGCGTTACATTCTAGTACGTCGCGCTTAACACAGAACTGGGGGGAGGGAGTTTTTGCCCAGCGAAATTATTACGTATCCAGGGAAAGATGGTGGGATAGCCTGAAATTCGTAACACTTCGAACCATTCGGGCCCTAACCCTCCCGTCTGTTCCTACCTCGCCCATCCCACACCATCTCGGTTGTCTACTCCAGGGCTCACATCACCCACGCACACACCACAGACAGATCTAGCCTCCCCCGCCCCCCACACGGCCCCTGGGGGCGGCGCGCCGGCCGCGCGGCACGTACTCGGGAGGCGGCACGCCGGCTGCGCGTGGTGGTCGACGTCTCGAGCAAGCTGGCGTTAAGCGCCGCCAGCCGGCCCTGGTCCGTCTCCTTGCGCCGCCGCTTCATGCTGGGCGTGCGCGGCAGCAGGTACGGGCCCGTCTCGGTGACCGGTTCGGCGTCCACCTCCGGCTGGTTCTCCTCGTCGCCGCCCCAGAGCTGCTTGCACGTCTCGTCCACGATCTCGTCCAGCCATTGGAAGTGCTCCTGAAGTCATGGCACGTGGCGGTGGTGAAACAGAGGCATAGAGGCGAGCAGAACTGCCCAACAGCCGTGCGTTTGGTGGCAGGAAAGTGCTTGGCTTCGGGCATCATAAACATATGGGGGCCTTGGCTAAAATTATGTGCCATGTACTGACAAAGCTATGTGAAAACTCAAACAAATTATGCAGTTCTGAATGCATTTTTTTGTGCAAAAAAAACCCTGCACATTAGCTGGATGCAAGGTAAATCAACACACAGTGGACAAGACAAATCAGCAATAATATGTTGTAGGACTTGCTTTGATCATTTGGAAATATACTCACTGCAAAATCCTTGTCAATTAACTTGATTTTGACCTTCTCCACCTGTGAGCACAGGTCTGCCAGAAGGCTATCCATGGACAGGCCTGCAGCCATCGCCGGCCTGAAAGTGACGATGTTGTATGACAACACACATATGATGTTACAATACAATACAAGACAACATATACAATAATGGCATACCCTTCTTCAAGGAAGTGTATACCACAACTTATGGGTTGAGAACTTAGTGGTTCCTAATTTCTTCACCTGAATTACCTCAGGTTCATGGCAACCTATGCTGCATATTTCACACTGTATCAACATAATTTTAACTTGACAGAAACTGGGACTCAAACCCTTCTTTTATTGTTTCAAATCTCCTTACACCTGTCATTCTCCAATTTGCTATCAGCTGCTTCAGCATCATCATGAAACCACATTTAAGAAAACAATGCTTGATTTCAAGGTTCTGTAAACTGAAGCATTTCTCAAACCATATATTGTGATGCACACAATTGCAACAGCGATGAGCAGAATTACAAATCACACCACACATTTCCTAATGTACGATTTGCACTGCGCAAACCCCAATGTCTAAAAAGCTGTATTTTGCAAAGTTTAAGTGCAGATAAGCAGATATTAATGTGACAAGGGATTCCAGCTCACACAAAACAATCGATATTTGGGCAAGTACTTGGAAACCATAAGAATTGGTAATTTTGGTTTGTGTTCTTTTTCATTACATCAATTGAATTGTTCTCATTCCTGTATTAAGGCAAGATAACTCCAGGATTCATTTGGTATATGGTCTTTAATTGCATGGACTATATTGTTTCTTCCTGTGTTAGATCACGATTGAGATAAGTCATGCATTGATGCAGTACTCCAGTATCAGTCTTCACACAATTCATCAGTTTGGTCACAACTGAGTTTGAATTTATACTGCTGGTGGTGGTTATGAGCATGTCTGTGATCCCAGCAAATCAACTTGCAAGATTTGGGAAATGAGGACTCCTGGTGTAAACATATGACTCAAATCATGAAATGAAGGCCAATCATTACTACCAGTGCATAGATGGTTAATGATTTTGATGACTTCTATCTGATGTGATCGCCAAGATTGCTTTTTGCAAGAACTGAGTTATACCAATGTTTTGCACCATTTTTTTTTGGGGGGGGGGGTTCCCTTAATTCCTGCCATATGAGGGTAGTAAGAGAATAAAGACAGCATAACATACATGCTAAAACACTTACCTTGTGCCTAGGGTTCACAGAATCTGACATGTTCAGGAATTATTCAGCCACAAACATCTCTCCACCACAAAGTATCTTTGTTTTTTAAAACATGCAATTTAGAATGGAATAGCCAGGATAGCATTGAGTGTAATACCTAACAACTATGAAAGAAATCATATTGTGAATACCTATTTTTCACATTGTAGCTGGTATGGAAAAATTTGTCACAACTAGTCAAGCATAAGTACCACGGAAAGCCAGCAAAGGTTAGGGATGACAGTCAATACTTTGCATACCTAATCAAAACTGCCAAACATAAGCATTATGCCAAAAATTGGCCAGCAATTGTTGCCCACCAGCTGGCTGACAATGATTCCACAATGTGTACACCAGAGATGAGACTGGAGTTTACTGTATGGTAACAAACAATTTCAGTGCATACAACATGCTGAAACACCTTACACTGACCATGTCAAGTATAACACCACCAAAATTTGTGCTGCATGTTTGCAGTAGATCCAGGTACTCAGAGTTTGCCATAATCACAAGTTTTGGGGCCAAGTACCAATGTTACAGAGATGATGCTGCCACAGAATTTTACACAAAAAAACTTTCACACAAAGCCCAACAGAAATTTATTAAAAAACTTTGTCATGCAAAACCAATTTCAAAATAACACATAAGCTGGCTAAGCAGGAGTTCACCCTGTAAAAGTGCAAAATTCAAGGCACCAATGTGGCTCCAGTGCACCATCAAGGTCAGTAGACAAACTGATAGTGGGCTGGCATAGGGCCATTGTTTCAAGACCAAATGATGCTGCAAAGACAACCTCCTTACATTCCCTTCCCTTATAGTGATCAGGAATTACAGAGGGCCACTAGGCCGGTCAGTCCTTGTCTTGTCCACCTCGGGCTAATATTGTTTGAAAATGTTGCACATGTGGGATGACCTGAATTAAGTTGTGGCACATGAGCATGATGTTCAGCACATTGCCATTATGTCAAATGTTAGGCACAGTGTAAATATTTGGCACACTGGTGCCTACTTGAATGTGAATTTGAGTACAGCATGCAGATTAACTTCAGCATGTAACTGGTCAATGACAAAACACTAGCATACAATTACTGAATGGTCAAAACGAAGAGGAAACTGAGAATCAGGCTGCATGCATTCATTCAAAAACACCCGAAACTGACCTTTCAAACCTATCTAGGTTGGTTTAATATCAGTACGGTGATTGACGAACAGGACGTCGCCTCGATATCGTAATACCTGTAGGCCTTTACTCTCATTTTTGAATTAAAACGGCCTAACGCCAGCACTTTCTGGTGTCATTTTGATGACACCGTGAACTTCAATCCTAAGACAACCGCAGCATTAATGCACGAATAAGCACCGCCGCCCCCCACCACACAGCCTTGAAATAGCGGAAACATTCAAGCGGCAAATGCGGCGTCAAACGGGGAAAATTTAAAACCGGCGCGGGCGCAGACAACTATCAAGAGTAATATAAAATAAGGAAATTCTATTAGTGATTAATTAGTAAAGGTCCCCGGCTTTGTAGTTTCCAATGCATTGCAATTTGCAAATTACGATTGCAGTTATAAAGCGTTTGGCAGGGCAGGGCGTTAGCAGCGTATTCCTATGAAAAATAAGCAGTAGCATAGCTAACAGCTCGTCCGTCGTAACTCGTTCAGCAACGATAAGACGTCAACGATAAGAACGCTCTTCCATACCCGGTCGTGTCTTCAACCTCAGTTGACTCGTTCAAGTCAAGGCTTGATATGCACTGAGCTGACATCATATATGACGTCCCGCACTAAATCTATCCATAATTTGAGACTGTTCGGTTACCGGACCGGGAGCTTGACTAGATCGGGACCTACAGGCCTAGTGGCCTTTTATAATTCCCTAATACCATAAGGTAATGTAAGGTAAAGTAAGGCAACCTGCAATAACTTCTAGATAGCTAATTTTGGTGACTCACTGGAAGGTCTTGCTCTGAAAATTCCAAAACTCCTCTGTACAACCATTGCGGTCGCCAACCGCTCTACTTTTCGCATGCGTGCTTCATACGGAATGCTCGCGAAACCCCGTTTATCTAGGGCAGGCTACACACATCATCCATGAGTAGGCCCAAGTGACCAATACGCACAGGGGTGCAGCTAGAATCTTGGCAAGGGGAGCACAGGGCTGACAAAGGCACCCTGATAGTAAAGCCCTCCCCCAAAATCGCAGGATGTGACCCTTTTTTACTGAGGAAATTTGTTTTATACATACACATATACGTGTATATGTATCTGTATTACGCATTTTTACCTTCTACAGCTGGAACATAGGCCAGACGCTACCGGGAGGAAGATCCTGCCGTGAGTTTTCAGTAAACATACTGACAAGAGGGTGCGTCAAATTATTGCATGAAATAAATCGCCAACACTCTTCATTTTACAAGGGTCCAGTGGACTCTTTTAAAACCGTGAGGACTCAGAGGCCGTGTCAGCATTTTTATCTGGCTTGTACAGAGATAGCAAAGATTCCGGTAATGTGGATTAAAGATCAGAATGGGTCAATAATTTGTATTCACATTCACACTTAAAGATATTCTGGGCGTGTATTTCATCTTTGCATTTTTAGATCGATGACAACGTCGTATTCAACTTAACAGCAGCGCGAAGTGGTTTTGGAATCTGTTGGTGGAACTGGTAAAGAAGGGTAAAATCTGTATTTTCTGTGTTTCTGTAATTGTTATTTGTCCAGAGGACATCCCCAAAGGTATACAAAAGATTCATCTAGTGTAATCCTTGGACCGCACGGATTAATTTCGAAAGACGTTCAGGAACACTACTTCACAATGGTCATTGTGCTCAAAAGGACATGGGGGCTCATCAGTGGCTCAGACGGACATGGAGCCGACTGTTTGGTGTTCGTGCTCTCTGACCGACTTAGACACCCGCATTATCTCAGGGGCTCCTCACGCGACGCAAGAGGACCTCCGGCCGATATTTAAGGTTCGGGCCAGGATTCTTTATTTGACCTACTACCAGTCCTTCGGGCTCTTACGCCCTACAATGGGGCCTTTGATCGTCGGTTCCGGTGGGCCACCCTGGCCCCTCTTCGGGCCTCATCGAACACCTCCCCTTGTCGGCTCGGGGCCCTTGCTAGCACAGGGCCCCCCTGTTAGGCGCTGTGGGCCCCCGACAGATACAAGGCCACCGACCAATCCAAAATACTGACCCCGGCTTTATAGTTGATTGGGAAGTGGATCCACAGGTCCATACCGACACGGTGCCGACTATGTGGTACGGTGGTACTTGGCAGTTATATAGGTCCATATCGACTCAGGGGGTCCCCCGATTGGCGCAAAGGGCCTCCTGGCCGTTATTTCAGGGCGTCTTCGCAGGTCGGGGCCCCTGAATAAGACTTCGGCCAGCCCTTTATGCCTTTAGACCCTCCAATCGGGCCCTTCATCGTCGGACCATTGGGCCCGTTAGGCTCTTCGGATCTCTTCGAAAACTGTCCCTGGCCGAATCGGAGCCCCTTGACAACACAGAGCCCCTGCTAGACGCTGTGGGGCCAGAAGAATGTAAATCGTTGGCTCCGGCTTTACCCCTGCTTGGGAAATAGGCCCTTACGGCCATGCCGCCGCGGAGCCGACTGTGCGTTGCTGGTGGTGTCTGACCGAAATATAGACCCTTGTCGACTCAGCGGGCCCCCGATCAGTGCGCAGGTCCCTCTGGCTGGCAGTGGGGTGCCCGGCCCTGCGGGCCGGGGCCGCTAAATGAGACCTCCGGCTGGCCCTTCCGGCCCTTCGGGCTCTCAAATCGGGTCCTTAATCGCAGGTTCCGACGGCCACGAAGGGCCCCTCGGAACCTACAAGGGGCACGTGCCTCCCGTGACCCCTCCCCCTTCCCTGCCCTCTGCCTGCGCTACTGAATACGCCCTCGGGTCAGAGATCAATTGGGCCCTTTCCCCTTCCCAAGGTTTTCCAAAATAATTTATGAACGGTGTGGCGTAGCCATTCTAGCTTTGGTAGGTGCACAGCCATGCACGACAATAAAAAGTTTCTATGGGGAGTGAAATATCCGGCAACATCAACCACAAAGTTTTGGCGCCACTCCACCACGCCGAGCTTTGCAGAGCTATAGATAATTGAATAAGGGGCCTTGAGGTGTGGAAAGTTAGATTACATGGTCAGGTCGCTGACCTTTGGCAGGTCAAAGTCAGGCCATGACTATCAGCAGAGACAATTCTTGTGGAATTGTTAAGCTGATGCGATAACGTAATGTAAAAGGGAGCACCCCACCTTTTTACTTTTCACCCATTGTTACATGAGACACGTGTGGTTTGAGCAATAATGCGAGTTTTCCCTAAATTTTCCCGAATAGCTCAGAGCTTCGGTTTCAAGCAGGCAACCCTGCGGAGGAATGTATTTGGCTACATGCTCACCACTATGAAAGAAATGAATTTGAGTTGCCTTGTTTTTCCAACCAACGTGTGCGTACTGTAGTGTTTGCAACGCACTGATGGGTCAAAATGTTTGGACAATAAATGCTACGAAAGCTTGCATAGCCTGCGATCTAGAAATAAAGTTATGGGAGCAAAAAGTTGTTATCTCCCGAATTCAACGCAACGTTATGCTATGGCTTTGCTTTCGCCCTATAGCGTTTACCACTACGGCTTTTTTGGCGAGGCGCACTTTGGCTTTGGGAATGAGAGAATCACATGATCTATATGACGCACTGGCTCAAACCTCAGACAGTGCGCTTTTTGGTAACAGTCCTTTATCCGCCGGGCTAATCACAAACAGTTTTTACTGGCACCAGTAGAGTAGCGCACGGTAGTTGTCAGGACGATCGTGGTCGCGATTGCAAGGGAAAAGCGTAATGCTGTTGCAAAGCGTTGACGGCATAATTTGGAATCGAAAGCAATTTCAATTGATTCCTTGCTTATAACTTGACGGTGATGTATTGGCAGTACCCGGTGCCATTATCAGATGTAACTAATCCTGAGGTTTCACTGGAGCATGTTTTTGCAGTCTAGGTCACTTAACGCACTCCTTTTAAACGAAGCCATATATCTCTGATATACTTTCTCAGATAACATTAGCCAATTGAGGTTAGGACTACGACCAATGTCATTGAATCCGGGTCAGTATGAAGGTGCCTTCATACTTTCAGTATTAAGGTCAGCATGAAGGTACCTCCATAATGACCGGCGTCGGACCAAGAGCAAAACCAAACTGCTTTGTCACTGAAGGACGTGTTTGAAGAGGTAGTTTTCAATGCTCTTTCCGACTTTCTTGATCACAGGGACGCCAACAGACATCTTATCTAGACTTCTCGCTGGTCACCATGTTAACCGTTTGTCCGACCGGTGTGACCTGAAATGAGGACCGGTGAAATTTTGCTTTCAACAGGTATCTAGACGTTAAAGCGGCTGCATAAGGTCTGGACATGGATGTAATTCATGTGGTGTAAGACATTTTAACGTTATGCAGGTTAGCTCTGCCTCAGCATTAAAAAGAAGTGGAAGATCATCCCACAAGAAAGGTTTCACTTAAGTACGTACGATTGGGCATTATAAGATGATAGCACGTTTTGCTCCGCACGGCGATGCGCTTCTCCTTTGTAGTCTGAAAGCTTCACTTAAACCCAAATCTGTGAGCTGCCTGGAAATTAAGATAGCATGTACCCAAACACTTGGAAATACAGTGACCATAGGATTCCAGACGAAACTAAAATTTCTCGTTTAGTTGTAAAAAGTGTAGGGCAGATGCAGGTGTAAATATGCATAGCAGCAAAACCAACGTTATTATAAATGGTGGCATACATCAATTCGAGTTCAACTGTCCATGGCCGGTTTCTGGGTGACAGGTGACATCTTGAGAAAGGAAAAAGTAGTGATATAGCAACTGAAAGGCTTTGCCTTTCTACGAACCTGTTGGTTGCAACGCGCAAAATGCTCGCAAAAGCTTTTGCCGCGAAGACACACCAACAGACGTTGCACTTTGCACTTTGCCCGACTTTGGTAGAATTGAGATCAACTGAAGTTATGCTGACCACATACGTGATTTGGCGAAACGCCTGGTGGAGAATTCGCATTGCAGAACAAACGTTCGTACATGGCTCGTCGAAGAGGGCCATGTGGCTGCCGACTTGGCAACGTCAGCCTGACCACAGGGCGCCGAGAGTCGTGCTATTGCATGGCACGGTTTAAGTCCTTTCGTGCTATTTGGATAGTGGCCCGAGGCGAAACGTGTCCCCCGAGTCTTTATTACAATAATGGGAGGATGGTTCAGAGTGCGCTTTTTTCAGCAGGAAATCAGATTCTAAGTTCGTCCCAGCAAAATTTTTGTTTTCAGTTTTGTGTATTGCATGCCCATTTCATAGCTGAGCCTATGTTCTGAAGTTACGACGCCACACCAAAAATAACATTCTGTTACCTGATTTTATTTTCTCATGAGATCATACAGAAACAAATGTCGGATTTCAGGTAAAAACCAATGCTAGGTTCGTGCCATTCCATGTACAGCATACGAAATGACGCTTGGTATAGAAGTCTCCAGGGGACCAGTACATCAGTCGAGTCAGTATCATATTTAGCTTGCGATAATAAACGTCCGGGGTTGTGTCTGACGGGCGGTAAAAACGCGTCACATATATCAAGGGTTTTACCACAACTATTTAAGGTTACCCACTATTTGAGGAAATAGTATGAGGTTGCTGGCATCAAGCTGCCCCGCTTCATTCCCCATGCCGACGCCACGATACCTTAAGACAAAAGAAGATAATCTTTGCGTGATAGTCATCTTTTACATAGCTTTTTACAGCATTCCAGCTAAAAACATTGGGAGCAACTCAACTTGGGGGGAGGGCAACCCAACATTGGAGACCCGGGGCGCTCACCAAAGGATATAAATCGACACCCGTGCAGAAGTCTCTGAGAGGTTTTCTTCGCAGAGTTGTGACAGCTTGGGAACACACCTGACACTTGGCAGGAGATACTTAATCATTCGGGATGGTTTTACAGTTTTTTCCACAGTACTCAAATTCGTCTTTGTGTATTACATTTATTTCAGTGTGAAGGTTCGCGTGAAGTTGGTACATTCAGTACTCCTCTGCCAGGAGCGTTACAAGCTCCGGCTGAGGCAAGTCCGAGAATTGGCAGACTGTTGAGACCGCTTTGGAAGACTGCCAAACCTGTTGTTCCCCTGAAGCGGGCCGGGTCAGGTTGCATTCACTCCGCTTCCCACGTTTGCCCCACACGAGGTGTCTGTAACCGTCTCATTGATAGATTCGGGTACAGTGCAATGGTTCGCATTGCGTGTCGACACGCTTATGGATGCAAAGACTGCACGGGTGTTTGCTGAACCACGTTTAGATGCATGGGGACGCTGTTATCTTCTGGGCATCCTCCACATTGAATACAATAATAACAAAAACTGCCTCCCGGGGGTAGCAAAAATAGTTAAACGCCGCCTTTCTCGCACATCTGTCCTTCCAAACCCACAAATGACTCTTACGATGCGCCGTTACAGAAACGGCTGCTTTCTCCGCTGGAAAGTCATCGTAACGTTTTCCACAGTTTATTCCTCACTCGATACGACCACCGCCGTGTCGTGCTTGGTCCCGTATAAAAGTACTTTGGCACACAAAGTTCGAGACAAACGTTGAGATACGGTGAGGTGCGGTCAGGCAAGACGATCGTCGCACGTGCGCCACGGCCAGCGGCGGCCAGCCAGGCACATTCCAAGGATAAATAAGAAAACTACCATACAAAATAACTTAGGGTTAGCGAAAGGCACGAAGCAACACAGTGCTACGACCGGAACCGCAGCTAGGGGCCGGAGCTTGAAGCCCTGCACAATCGCATGGCGGCCAAGTCCCTTCGTCTGGACGCGCGGCACAGTGAGAGAACTCGGCCACCCCTGCTGCCCAGCTAGATGGCACAAGCCTAACCCCCTCCGCGCGACCACGCTGTGATCCCCACGAGGGCGCGGCCCCGCCTCTGGCCAGTGCTCTACCCAGGTAAATGAACAGACGAGCAGAATACAAGTCTGACGTAGTGAACTAATAGCGAGAAACGATATGTTTGTACTCGGGCGAAGTTGGGAGGTACGCTAGTGGCTACGCCCCGTCCACAGTCGCCTCCCAGTGGACAGTTGCCGCGCCCCTGCCGCTTCGCCTATTTACAGTGGGAACTAAACCAGAAGCTCGTCGACTGAACGGTGTCTTTGGAATGAAGCAGGCTTTGTACTGAAACGAAAACTGGGCCGTCCGCTGACCACCAGAAAGAGTCACACACGTTCCAATCGCGCCTCTGGCTAGAATGGGCTCGCCTACGCAACCCCTTTGAAACACGAATAGTGCAGGAGCTGCTTGGCGGCGGGCCGCTGGTCGCCGTCCATGCGGTGGCAGTCAGAAACAAGGCTCTTCAGGTCGTCCGCTAGATGGCTCGGTACTGGCGGCGGCGATGTACTGCCGGCGATCTGCAAACGGGCGATTTGGTGCGTTTTAGTGGCGGCAGTTTTTCGACATTGAAGCTGTTGTAGGCAGACTGCACGACACACAACTCCGAATCCCCACAGAAGTACACAATAAAGTTGCATGCATTGAAAATGTGGCCCACCAGCCACTGGCAAACCCTTCAGACTCTGAGGTTCGAAATTAAAAACATGACGACCCGAAACCGACGAGTTCTCCCGGCGCCTCGCACGCCGTCGCAACTCGTTGAACCACCAGCCGCCACTGACCCTGAAGAGCAGTGCGAAGTGGTTGCTGCAGGTGTGCGCGTCCCAGGGTGGTCGGCCGGTGGCCATCTCAATGACGCAACAGCCGACGCTCCAGACGTCACAGGAGCGGCCGTAGTGGTGGCCACGCAGCACCTCTGGCGCCATAAAGGCGACCGTGCCCAGCACCTGGCCGCTAAACTCGCCCTTGAGCGTGGCGTCGGTGCCTAGCACGGCCGCCGTACCGAAGTCGCCGATCTTCAGGCACTGGCCGGACGAGTCCACCAGCAGGTTAGCGCCTGCGGTAGGGGAGGATCGGTCACCCGCACTGTCAGGGCGGGAAGTTCGAACGAGAGGGACCACGATACCGGGCCTCTCGCTGTGAGTGTGGGGCGCAAATAGCCATATACGCCACGTAATATTGCATAGCCTCTCCATTCCAGAGCACAAATCAGGGGCGTAGTTTCGCAAGGAGAGTTGGAAAGGGGAGAGGGCGAGCCGCGAGCAATTTTGAAACGTACCCCCAAATTCGCCACAAGTGGTTTTTTTTCCAACATTTGACCCACTTCTCTCCCAAAGTTGGGGAAGGGAGCTTGAGAACCCACAGACTGAATAGGAAACTAGACACCTGGCACATACCTTCCCCCAAACAGATCGCTTGTAAAAAGGGCACATCGAACTGACAGTTGGGCAGATAGCACTTTTCCCCGCATCTAATCCCCTAACCACAGACGATTCATAGGGCGTAACACACCCTCATGCACACAACCCGCGCGAAAGCCCCAGTCAGCCGCCGCGGAGTCTCTCCTCCCTCCGCCGGCAGTGTGGCAGGCCTCGCTCACCCTTGAGGTCGCGGTGCAGAATATGGCTGTCGTGCAGGTAGGCGAGCCCGTCCACCAGGTGTCCGGCGTAGCGCCTGATGACGTCAGCGCTCATGGGGCCGTAACGCTGCAGCAGGCTGGCCACCGAGCCGCCGGCCTCCCACTCGGTGAACAGGTTCATCACGGCCGGCCGCCGGGTGGCGCCCAGCAGACGCAGCACGTGCGGGTGCTGCAGGCCGGCCAGCAGGACGCACCTCGGCGCGCAGCGCGGCCTCGCGCTGCGCCCGCTCCGACGGCGTGTCGCTGCCGCAGCCGGTCGACACGTGGACCTGCTTGACGGCCATCAGGTGGCCCGACTGCAGGTCGCACGCCTGGTAGCAGGAGCTGAAGGCGCCCGTGCCGAGCAGCGGGCCGCGGCGCCAGTCTACCTCCTCCGTGTAGGTCACCAGCGTGTCGCCCTCCATATCCTGCGGCCGCACGGGCCGGTTAGGTCAGGGAGGGCCAGGCATGCCAGGTGCGCGCCCGCCTCGACTGAGGCCAGCCGCGCTCAAAGGGAACCCGGTATCACCGGACACAAACGCAGCCAAGGGTTGAAAGGGAACCACGTATCAACTGGGCACAAACACAAGAGCAAGGTTCCCATACTGGTGGGCAGCGCTGATCACTGTGAGATACTCGGATTGTCTATGGAAATAATTCGCGAACCAAAATTTACCGAAAACTTGCACGCATCATGTTGAAAATGGTCAAGGAAACGAAAGACCACCTCAAACCGTGCACTCTGAGCTGAATCCATCTCAGACCAGCGTTCCTATCACGGTGCAGCCCAGCATCCCCATCCGCACCACTCACTTGGTTGTGAGGGTACACTATGATTTCCTCTACGGAGTCGGTGGAGCAGGGCAGGTGCTGCAGGTGCGGCGGGGCACAGGCGCACTCCACGTCCATGGTGGACGGCGTGGACATGTCCGTGGACAGGGGCACCTCCAGCTCGCTCGGCGAGTACAGGCTCGCCTTCAGCGGCGCGGCGCGCTCGGCGCCCGCCTGGCGGCGCAGCTGCGACTGTTTTCTTCTGAAGCCGGCTGCCACCGAGGCCGGGTCGAGCGGCAGGAAGTTGGGCCGAGGCCGGCGGCCGGCCGGCGTCGGCGCCGCGCCGGAACCGGGGCTCTGCGGCGGCGGCGGCGCGCCGCGCGCCGCTGCCGCAGAGCCCACGCCGCGCGCCGCCTCCCAGAGCGCGCGCACGCGCCGCCGCAGTCGCAGCTGCAGGTTGGAGTCGAGCGCGGCCATCAGCTCGTTGATGTGCGCATGCGCGTCCGGGTCGGCTTCTGCGGCCAGGGCCATCTGCACGAAGACGCGGCGCGCCAGCTTGCTGACGGTGGCGTGGGGGTGGGTGAGCGCGCGCTGCGCGAACTCGGCCAGGCGCGCTGCGCGGCCGCCGCCGGCGCCGCCCAGCGGCGAGACGCTGAACTGCTCGGGCAGCTGCGCCACCAGATGGTCGGCGACCACCAGCCGGCCGAGGCACCACTGCCACGAGTCGGCGCCGGAGCGACACTCCTGCAGCAGGCAGTCCAGCACCAGCTGCAGGCCGCCCAGCTCGGCGGCCAGCAGCTGGCCGGCCGGGCCGCGCGCCAGCTGCGCCAGCGTCCACACGCTGAGCTGCGCCGAGCGGCGGCTGGCGTCGGCGGAGCGCAGCAGCAGCGCCTCGACCAGCGGCGTGAGCGAGGCGCGCAGCCGCGCCGCCTCGTCAGCCGCGCACGGCCGGACGTGCTGCAGCAGCAGCCGCAGACACTTCTGCAGGGGGGGGGGGGGGGGCTGGTCAGTGGCAGGCGATGCAGCAGGAACGGCGGTGAGAGTGGTTTAAGCTCAGCACTGACGGTACATGAAACACACCGCCCGGTAGCGGGAGATATATGACGTGGGCTGATTACACTGCATGCCAACAATGAACTATCGTCGACGCCAAGTTCGTGCCTTGCGATCTCTCACCCCTGCATTTCAATGTCAGGCACGGCAGGCAATGTCAGGCACACTGCTGAGATGACTCGACAATGCCCCGCACCCAAATAACTTCACACTATCACAGCCTCCCTGCAAGTGCTTAAAACGCGATAGCAAACACCGTCAATGGACCAGGAAAACGGACGGATTGGCAAGCATTGTGTGCGCACTGGACCAGCTGCCCACGCCAATGATCGCTACGAGGAGCATCTCGTGCACGGGGTCGGCGGTACTTACGATGGCTCCGAGGAACACCTTGTGGACGGGATCGGCGCAGAGTGTGGCCAGCAGGTCGGCCAGACAGTGCAGCAGCTCCTCCGCGGACCTGCTGCTCGGCCGGCGCACGATGCCGGTGAGCTCCTCAGCCAGGCGATGAATTCCTGCAGACGACGGCGCACGTGGCTCAGAGTAGGTGCCAGACGGCGCCAGGGGCAGGGTGGGCAGGAAGGAGAGATTGTCTGCGTTAACATTCCAGATCCCCGCTCAATGGACAACAATTTACGCCACAGATGTGGTAGTGTTGTCACACTGTCTGAAAAGGGGAATAGTCAAACATGACAGCGATAACCCAGGTTCAGCGGAACACTCATACGACAGCTGTTACAGGTCGTAAGAACTAGCTGTATTGCAAACCCACGTGCGACTCGCATATGGGTATATCACACTTCATAGCTCTAGCTTGGTCTCACTCCACGAAGCAGTCCAGATGCTACACCGTTGCATGCCACTCACCAGAATCTCTCATCTGCCAGTCACGGGAGAGCACCAGCTGCACCAGCTCGCGTCCGAGCACCTGGACCCATGTCTGGCGGCGCTCCACGCTGTCGAGCCGCTCCAGGCGGACGGGCGCGCGGCGCAGCGAGCCGCGGCCGGGCGCCCGCCGCCCCAGCTGCGGACTGCGGCCGCCCTCCGGCTCCGTCGAGGCCAGCGAGGCGCGCCGCGCGCCGCGGCCGCCCTCCGGCTCGCACGAGACGACCGAGCCGCGCCGCAGCGAGCCGGGCGAGGCGGGCGGCTCGCGGCGCGCCTCGCCGGCCGGTGCGTCCCGCCGCGGCAGCTGCGGGCTCCGCGCGCCCTCCGCGCCCGGGGTGAGGGAGCCGCGCCGGCCGGCGGCCGGCGCCGGGCTGCCGGCCGGCTCCCAGCCCGGCGAGCCGGGGGCGGAGCCGGGCGCGCGCCGCGCCGTCGTCGGACTGCCGAGGCCGCGCCGTGCCAGCTGCGGACTGCCGCCGACAGGTGGCAGGCGCGGCGGCGGCTGGGCGGGCCAGATGGCGCGGCAGAGCGGGCAGATGACCCGCTCCTGCTCGCGGCGGCACTCCTCCGCCCAGACCGACATGCAGTGGTGGTGCAGGTAGTTGCGACAGCTGCCGTCGCAGCGCACCAGGCTCTCGCCCTCGACCATCTCCAGCAGGCAGATGGGGCAGCAGCTGTCGTCACTGCAACAGAAGCGCACATTACATTTGCGCACTTACTCGCCCTTCCTCGCGACGCGCACAACGGGATCATGAACAGTGCGGCAACCATCGCTCCCATCAGGCGTAACCCGATTTGGTAGCGCAAACGGGCCGCGGTGGGTACACAGCCGCAATAATGGTTAAGAGCCCAGCTCAAGGGATACCAAGCGGACAAATAAGACCCCGCACACGTCCCGCACGACGTCCCAGACAACGTATGGGGTGTGAGGTCGCCCGCCGCCGACCGTCTGCGAGGCGTCCGCCGCGGCCGGTCGCCTCGCTCCCGGTCGTCTTCGGGCGTACCTCCTGTCGTCGGCGGTCAGGCGGGTGGACTGGAGCTCGGCCGCCGACGTCGGATCGCCGCCGGCCTGACCTGAGACCCGGGACAGCCGCCGCCGCCGGAACGACTGCACCAGCGACTCCACCTGCGGCCGCCAGCGACGGTCAGAGGTCAGGCACAGACCGACAGCGGCCCCGGGTCACTGACACGGAAGGCCACGGATGGCACAGCAGCAGCGGTTTGAACAACAAACAACATAAGTTGAAATCAACTTCAGGCCAGTCGATTATATGGCGTGAGCGCAGCAAAGATGCCAGACAGCGTGAAGCTACCTCAGAATTTTTGTCCACCTTATATTCATTAAACGCAGTTCATATAACATTCACCTATTTGACAGGATGCTGAACCTATCTATGTACATCTTACGCAGCGAAATATCGTTGAGAGATACGATACGTAGAAAAAAAAACAGCAGGCGATGGCGGCGCCGACGCTGGCCGTACCTCGTAATTCTTGAGCGTCCGGCAGAAGAGCCGGTAATCGTTCTCCGGAACCCGGAGTACCCTGATCATGATGAACAGCACGTGCAGGCAGAGCGGCGAGCGGCCACACGAGCACGTCTGAAAACCGAACGATCGGTCAGGCGTCGGCCCATGAAGCACGCCGAAGTCACACGGCAACCCGGCCAGGCGGACCACCATCCTATCACGAAAGGGATCCCCCCCCCCCCCCCAAAGCTGTGCCGATTCCCGTGAGGACCAGAATTAAATGGCCGGTATCCGATCAGGGTGGGAGCTACCCGGCCTGGAGCTCCAGACACCACACCTGGACATAAGCTTCATAAAACCCGTCATCATAGGCGCTGTCATCACTGGTCAGAGCCGCAGGTGCTGCACAGGGCACCGAGTCCAGGCCGGTGCACTGAACTCGAGGGCCGCCTACCGGCACCCCACGCGCGCACGCCCACTACCCACCCCCATCTTACCCCTGGACCCCATCTGACACCTCCAGTCGCGCGGCCCCGGGACGCATCGGCCGAGGTCGGGGCGTGGTCCGACACAGGCCCAGGAGCGGACCCAGCCACCGCATACTACAATGGCGGCCGCAGCCAGCACCAACACTGACTGGAAATCCGACTCCTGGTAGAGTTTGACCTCGCAGCGCGCGTCTAGACTTTGAAAGGCGGTGTGTTGGGAGTCATGTCGACAACACTGAGTCATGTGAGCATGGAAGAACACTACATAACGCTGAATGAACCGGAAAGCAGGACAACGCGCCACTGTAATCAAAATAATGCCCTCTCCTGGCCGTTGAACTGCAAGCACAATGTCGTTAAAAAGTCCCGAGAAATCTCATCTGATGGATTTTCTCGCGAAACCGCGGCTGACGGCAGAGCCGGTTGGAAAGGTGGCTAATTAAATATCGATCTTGCCTCCGAGCGCTCCGCCGGCGGCGCCAGTAGCGGTGGGTAGTCCCGCCATTCAACCCCCTGGCCTAATTGTCCCATCCCCTGGTGGAGGGGGGGGGGGGGGGGGCACCGCCGGCTGACGACCAAGGACGCTGGCGCCATTTGCGCTGCAATAAATCGCCCGAATCGCGGCTCCAGTTTGGACAGGCATTATCGAACTGGGTCAGTGGTTCCAGCTGTGTCCACGGTCCGCGCGCGCGGCGAGGACCGGCCCGTTATGGCAGCGCACACGGCGATAGGAGGCGGCGGCGTGGCGGGGAAGAGGGGGCGGGGTGCGGGCGTCGGTTGTGCGGTCGTCAAACAAAGACAGGACAGACGTCAGGAGGTGGTCAGTGGGTCGCCAACTGCGCTTTCGTTCAGGTCCGGAGTCTGGCAGACGCATCGGGGAAACTAAGCAAGACGAAGGACCTTTAGTCTTTATGGCCCTGGATAAGTGAAAGGCATGCGGTGGAATGAGATGTACACCGTGGAATGCAGCTGCATCTGACCAATCACATATCACATCCATATAGACACATGGACCGTAGACAGCTAACGAGGGAGTTAGCGCCACTCCTTCATAACAAACGACACGACCTCACCTCTGCCCGCCGCTTCAGCTAGACCCACCGATACCGACTCCAGAGAAAGAGCCCGAATTCAGCAGACAACGCGCCGATCAAAACAACTCTCTCCGAGATGCGGTGCGGTACCCGACTGCAACCACCACACAGGTGCAAAAACATGCCTACACCCTCCGATCACGTGTACAGTGTTCGGCCGTGCCGGCGCGCCACCACGGAAGGGGGCGGTCTAATGACCTCGTTCGTTTTTTGGCGGCGCGCATCACTCCAGGATTGAGCTCACACACGCACGACGACGGCACGTACAAGGAAAGCCCATTAGTGGCCGCCGGCTCCACCGATGGCAAAAAATCCCTCCATCCCGTCGGCGTGGTGTTCAACAACGGGGCAGATCATTAGGAGAGCGTTTTTAAGAGCTGCACCGTGTCGGCCGAGCCGTTGGATCGTCCGGTGCTGCAGACGCGTCGATGGCGTAGCCGCTGGGGCTCCGCGAAGAACGCGACCACGCGCTCGGCTGAACAACGAGACCCGGACACGCGATTCCCGGCCCGGTGCGCGGCGAATGGACACGCATACTTGACCCACAAAGCTTGCACGGCTCCCGCAGCGAGCCCGGCAGTGCCCTTTTAGCGTCCCATTTCTGGGGCGTGAACTTTGGGAATGGCACAGCCAGTCGGGCGCCCGCCGAGCTCCCCTGCAGCACCACGTGCACACCCGCCGAGTTGGCTGCATGTCGCATCGCATTGCTTCGCTTCCGGACGGCCACCCGCGAATTAAGCGCGCGACATCCGCAACGCTGCTTATTAGATGCAGGCCAGCATTTGCCCCACGGCTCGCTCAGGGTCACCAGGGTCACGGGGGCGGCGGGCCACGCGAGGGCGCTCACTGCGGCGCGGGTAGCAACGGCCGCTCGTGAGCCGGCCATGTTAACGAGCGGCGGCCGTCGTCGGGTCGATGTCACGCGCCGGCGGACAGACAGGGCGGCGGGGTGGTCAGCTCCGGCGCTATAACCCGCCGCTATACAGCAGACGCGCCGGGCCCGGTCCGCACGGCTGGTGCCGTCCAGGGCCGCGCTCCCCATTACCAACAGCTTGTTCCCCATTACTAACAACAAGTTGCAACCTATGACGTCAGAGGCAAGTGCGTCACAACAGCTCCTACAGCTTGGATGATAGTCGCTTATGTATGACGTAGGTTCTTGTGACGTCATAGGTAGCAACTCAGGTAGGTACTTTGCCAACGAGGAACGCGGTCCAAAGGAGCCTCTCCGAGCACGTGACCGGCGTCTACTGCGGTCCCAAGCCCTGTCCCGCACAGCCGCGACACGGACGCTAAGTCCCAGGCTGTGTCGCGCCGAACACCGACGCTCGCCAGGCCAGGAAGCTCAGCCCACACGAGATACCGGCGCCCGCCGTGGTCTCACGCTCAGTTCTCGCAGGCACACATGCCTGCTGTGAAGCCAGCCTCAGTCACACGCAGCAGCACCTGCCGCGGTCCGAAGCTCCGGCACGCACGGCGGGGCCCAGCGCATGTTGAGCTCGCAGGCGCCTCCGCAGCCGGAGCGCCACCGAGCCGGCGCCACCGAGCCGGCGCCCGCTGAGACGGCGCCGGCGCGCGTGCCGGCGCCACTGGCGCCCGAGGGCGACCTGGGCGCCACGAGAGGCGCCGCCGCCGCCCCGGCCAGACAGCGCCGCCGCCAGCCCCGATTCGGCGAGCGGCGCCGTCCGGCGGGTTTTGGCCACCTCTGTTCGGGCGGCGCCGTCCCGCGGGACTTGGCCACCATGTTCGGGCGGCGCCGACCGCAGGGCCTCGGCCACCTCTGTTCGGGCGGTGCCGACCGCAGGGCCTCGGCCGCCTCTGTTCGGGCGGTGCCGACCGCAGGGCCTCGGCCACCTCTGTCCGGGCGGTGCCGACCGCAGGGCCTCGGCCGCCTCTGTTCGGGCGGCGCCGACCGCAGGGCCTCGGCCCGCTCTGTTTCGGGCGGGTGCCGGACCCGCAGGGCCTCGGCCCGCCTCTGCTCGTGGCGATGCCGACCGCAGGGCCCTCGGCCAGCCTCTGTATTCGGGCGGTTGCCGACCGCAGGGCCTCGGC